TTTGAGGCACCGTTTTTCCAAACTAAAGAGATTTACATTTTTTAATCCTTCATAACTAAAATGCTCCATTTCTTTCATCAATTTTGTAGCCTGTCTCTGCACTTTTTCTAGTTCCATAATATGCTTCTGTAGAACAGGTGCTCAAAATTGCACAGCATATTCAAGACGTGGTCTTACCAGTGATTTATAAAGAGGCAAAATTATATTTTCATCCCGAGAATGTATGCTCCTATTTATGGATGACTAAACCTTACTGGCCTTAGCAACTGCCGATTGACATTGCATATTGCTGCCTAATTTGTTGTCTATAACAATTCCCAAATACTTCTTGTGTGTTATCCCTAATTCACTACAATTTAGGGTGTAAGTTGCTTGTGCATTCTTTACCCCGAAGTGCATAACTTTGCGTTTCTCTACATTAAATTTCATCTGCCATTTTAGTGCCCAGTCCCGCAATCTATCTAAATCCCTCTGCAGCAAAGCAATATCCTGCTCACATTGTATTACTTTACAAAGTTTTGAGTCATCTGCAAACACTAAAATATGGCTTTCAATTTTTATTTTAAGATAATTTGTAAATGTTAAATAGAAGCGGTCACAAAACAGAACCCTAAGGGACACCACTTACCACTTTTGTCCAGCTTGAAAACTTACCATTAATGACAACTCATGGTACTCCATCCTTAAGCCAATGTTCTACCCAGGAACAAGAATATTAATTTAGACCAATTTATTTTAGTTTGAACATTAACCTATTGTGAGGAACCGGATCAAATGCCTTGGCAGAATCCAAGTAGGTCACATCCACTGCAACACCCTGATCTATACTTCTGCTTACTACTTTGTAGAATCCAATTAGGTTAGTTTGACATGACCTATGTTTCATATAATCATGCTGATTATTGCTAATAACAAAGTTCTTCCCAATGAATTCTTGAATATTATCCCTTCAAACACTTTTCCAGTCATAGAAGTTAAGCTCACAGGTCCAGGCAAGGATTTTGAACCTTTTTTAAATATATTGAAATGACATCTGCCTTCCTCAAACCCTTCGATACAATTCCTAAAAAAGAAAAACTTGAAAGATTAAATTCAGAGGTACATTTATTTCCACACGTCTCCTGAAGTACTCGTGGGTGAATACAGTCAGGCCCAGGAACTTTATTTACATTAATTTTCTTTATCTGTTGTAGCACCTTGTATTGAGTCATCCAATCGCATGTTATCTGCAAATTTTTTGCAGCAATCATTTGTATATCTCTTAAGATCCTCATTAATATATACTGAAGAAAAAGTTATTTCAATTTCTGCACTTTCCTGGTCTTCATTAAATTAACGAACACTCCCATCTCTAAAAATACAAACACAGCAGGAAGAATTGGTGGATTGGCACTTCACACCATAAAGTAAGCAACAACCCCCAGTGCCCAAAATCACTAAAATGGCACTCAAATACAAAGTGAAAGAAAAAGAATACAGGGGGGTGCAAAGAACATATACAATACTTCACTGTATATTTACTGTAGTGAGTTGAACACCTCCTGATTATCCTATAATAAAAGCAGTAAAGACACATACATAGTATAATACTGTTATACAAAGTAGGAATAATCAATTCAAAGGTATTGGGTCACTCACAGACAAAGAGCCACATAAAGCTGGCTCTGACTTCAATGGCATGTGAATAATAAGCTTATTCCAGCTCTCTCAACCAGGATAACTCCTTCAATAATTTTCAGGATATCCAATATGTTAAAATATATAAACTTTACTTGATACAAAATAACATACAAATAAAGATAAATTAAAATACTATATAGTGAAAAAGTCCACAGCACTAACGCGTTTCGACCTCCAGGTCTTTGTCCATTTTCAGTGTACCTACGCTTTAAATTTTTTGTTTTTTAGAATTGATGTACTTGAGAAATTGATAGCCAACGAAAGCAAAACCAACCCCCCCAAAAAACTTTAATTTTCTAGTTTAACCACTGTAATTAAATTTCTTTTTTACACTAATTGCCTTTTTTTTTAGACTAATGACGGATCATTGTATAGCAACGTTTCGTCTCCTGTCAGGATGTTGCAGGTTGAAGAGATCTTCCAACTGCACATGTGTAAATCTTTCAGGCATAATCAGTGCACTTTTTCATCGTTAATCGGGATCGGGCACGGATTGGTTAATCAGTGTCCACCCTGAAGTGAATGTAGAAAGCATAAGAGAGAAGAATTAGGTAAATATATAACAAAACCTATATTTACCTAATTTTCTTTTGTCCTCGGAGTGAGGATCCTATCCCACAGACCATCCTTGCTCTTATCTGCCCATTTTCCTCTGGTTTTGAATTAAGATAGGAAGACACTGGCTGTGGTGCGGACTCAAGTCAGCAGCTTAGGTCACACTGATCTCTAATTGGATGAGCTACACCTTCAAATCAGGAAGACCTTTTATGAAAAGGGGGAAACGTGGCTGAAAGGTGGTTTTTCCTGTGTGGGGAAAAAACTCCTCTCCCATTTCATCCTTTTGTATTTTGAGGACATTTATCCAATTTAATAATTTGCATTAAGTCTTATGGGGTGGGGGGGTCAATTTACAATACTTTTTGTAGTCCATTCACGGGTAAATTAAGAATTGTTTGTTTCAAACCTTTTTCTTTTGTTTCAGTTTTAACAGGATTGACATTCCGCCGTATGAATCATACGAGAAGCTGTATGAGAAGCTTCTAACTGCAGTAGAAGAGACTTGTGGCTTTGCCGTGGAATGAGTGTTTTTAACCAAAGGACATAATTACACAAACCTGATCAAAACCTATAGACATGCTGCAGTCCGTCAAACTATTATACATGTTCCCTTATTCCCCTTTCAGTCATCGTGGGAAAAGCTTGACATGGTTATCATTTCATTTCTCTTTTTTAACCCTACTCAAACGATCCTCACCCTGGTATTACTTTCCAAAAGTATTACTGAATGCCTGTATACAGTGGACTTTAAGTAGCTGTTCAAAACACACGGATGTTTATAAAAGGTATCTATGATAAGAGGATCATCAACTGAAAGCTACACACTGATATTTCTTCCTCAGATTTGAATGATGGAGATAGCCTTTAACCCAGTGGATTTTTGTAGCTTTTCATTTATTTGTGCTTTGTACACCAACACAAAGCTAACCATTACTATCAGGAAGCTTTCTGCTGTAGCAGTTTTTATACAAGTGGCACATGCAACTATTGTGAAGGGTACCTGGGTGTTTACAAATCGTATCCTGGTGGATTTGCTAAATATATATTTGCACAATAGGGACCAGCCTGCTAAGCTGAAAATTACTTGCAGCATTAGCTTGAGTTTTAAGTATTTGAAATAAAGTTTGCTTCAGAGAATGTTTTAATATAGGAGTGAAAACTATCCAAGAAATGTTATATGTGGTCAAAGGCGATTTTTGTTTTATTGCCAAGCTATGAAGCTTTGTTACATTGTCTGGAAAAATGGAAGTGTGATGCATTGTAAACTTCATGTTGTATTTTCCATTTTAGACCTTTTTATTTATGAATTCATTTAAGTGTACCCTCATGTATAAAATTTTCCAGAAAGTTGTATAGTAAATATATACTGTAAAAATCAAACAAAATGGAGTATTGTACATTTTATATTTCCAGACACTGAACACTTTCTAATTGATATTGTATGTGTTCATAAATGTACCTCATCACTAACCAATGATAGCAAGAGGAAAGGAAGACGAACGTGAGGTAAATGTGAGATTTTGGAATTCTAGGAGTGAATGTCTTAATATTTGAAAAGGCATTTATCATAATTCCAGCATTTCACATTTTGTGCTGCTAACCATCACTATCAAAAGTTTAGTGTTAACAGTTCAAGATTCATATTTCAGATCGAAGTATAAACTATTATGACACTCCATGAATTAACACTTGCAAGTATCCCACAATACAACAGGTTACATAGGCTAATGATAGCCTATCCATCAAGTTAAGCCTATTCACGCCTGCTTTTGCAGTTTGAAATGCTTTACAGTTTTGCAACAAACTAGGAAAAACTTCCTTCTTAACATCAGAATGGCAGTCAGATCTCTCCTTGGATCAAAAAGCTGGTACCCCACAATTTAAAAATTAAATCTCCTGGATATGTTTTTGCAAGTATTCATCCAGTTGATGTTTAAACATCTGTACAGACTCTGCTAAAACTGCCTTTTCAGGCAGAAAATTTCCCATCCTTACTGTACTATACTGTAAATACTTTCCTTTGCTTAAACTAAATTTCCTTTCTTCCCTTCGAAGTGCGTGATTTTGTGTCCTATGTATAGCCCTGTCAATGAATACCTTTTGGATTTGACCTGAAAAAAATATATATGTATAATGCTATTGTATCTCCTCTGAAGCACTGTTTTTCTAAACTAAACAGATTTATTTTGTTAACCTTTCTTTGTCACTAACATGTTCCATTCCTTTGATTAATTTTGTAGCCAGTCTCTGGCCTTTTTCTAGTGCAATATCCTTTAGAACAGGTGCCCACAATTGCACTGCATATCGCAAGTATGGTCTTACCATTGTTTTATAAAGAGGCAAAATTATATTGTTATCCTGAGAATTGATGCTCCTTTTTATACATGACCTTACTTTACTGGCCTTAGCAACTGCTGAATGCACATTGTTGCCTAGTTTGTGTATAACAATTCCAAAATTCTTCTGTGTTACATCCTAAATGGTAGTGTATTAGAGATAAGCTGCTTGTGCATTCTTTATCTCTAGGTGCTTAACTTTGCGTTTATCTATATTAACTTGCAGCTGCCATTTGAGTGCCCAGTCCCCCAATCTATCTAAATCCCTCTGCAGCAAGATGATACCCTGCTCATGTTGCAGATAACACAACTATGTAAAGTAATACAAACACTGAAACATGACTTTCAATGCCTATTTAGAAGGGACACTATAGTCACCAGAACAACTACAGCTTAATGTAGTTGTTCTGGTGAGTACATGAAAATGCCAGTGTTTACATTGCCTCTAGGGACACCTCCAAGTGGCCACTCAGCTCACCACTGGAGGTGCTTCTTGGTGCAGTGCTGCACAGTAGGCAGCAGTGCCGTTCAGCGTCTCCACGCTCTGCATGGGGATGTTGAATTTTCCCCATAGAGATGCATTGATTCCCATGGGAAAGCATTGGATTGGCTAAAAATCTGCAAATCTAATGTCACCAAAGGGGCGGGTCCAGTGTCGGCGGACACATGCGGTGCTGGAAGTAAGGTGAGATTTTCATGCTTTTAAAGAGGGGTAAGGGGTGAGAGGGGGCGCAAGCCCCATTTAATGGTGGGTTTTGCACTATGGGGTCAGGAATTCATGTTTGTGTTCCTGACCCTATAGTGTTCCTTTTAAAGATGCTTTATAAACATGTTAAATAGAAGCGGTCCTAGAACAAAACCCTGCGAGACACCACTTGCCACTTTTTTTTTTTTTTTTTATATATATATAGCTTGAAAATGTACCATTAATGACACTTTGTAATCTATCTTTAAGCCAATGTTCTACCAAAGAATACGCATTTACTGCAACACCCTGGTCTATACCAGTACTCCTTTTGGCAGCAAATTTCAATTTAGTTTTAGTCTGTCTTTGGACCAAAAGGCCATTTTAGTAATCTGAATTGGTTTAGTCGACTAACTCTCCTGTTGATTTTAATCGACACGACTAAACTCCAATGGTTTTGTTTAAGCCTTTGTATACATCTTCCACTGCCCCTTTGTGTCATCCGAGCCCCTATGGGTGTCTCTCAAGTCCTGGTCTCCCGCACCCCCCTCACCCCCCCCAAAGCCTGTGTTTACCTCTTTTGCCCCAGCTCCTTGTGGCTTTTTGCCAGCCCCTCTGTGTGTGTTTCTTTATAGCCTGTTTGTGTATTTCTCCCCAGCACCTCTGTTGCTTTCTGTACCTACCAGCCCCTCCATGCATCTGATCTCCCCTGCGTCTCGGTCCTCAAGCCGCCCATGTCCCTCAATTCCTTCCCCAGTACCTCCATGTGTCCCATTGTTTACATTAACTTTTTTTTAAGTTTCTGCAGCCCTATGTCTTTAGTCATCACAATTTTTTTATTTTTTTTTCCTGCAAGTTTTTTTTGTGGCAATAATTTGCGTGTCTCTTGCCATAGGTTCCTTCTTAATATATACGAAGGAAAAATAGTTGATTAAGACCATGAAAATGCAGAAATTTTAAATAACATGCTATGTCTGTTTTCAGTGTACTTATACAAAAACTAGTTGGGGTAGGCTTTGCTCTCTTTGGCCATCACATTCTTATTTTGCAGGTTAGTTTATCTAATCCTCCTTTTTGCATGAATTATTGGCTTCTTTATATCTTGTGTAAGATGCTTCTAGTTTGCCTGATTGAAATGCTTTAAATTACTTTATTTTGAATTTTCATTTTTTTTTTTTTAAAGGGGCCCGGTCGCGCTATAACACGGCCACAGCGCTAAGAGGGCCCATAGGGTGGCCTTAAGTGCGTGGGCCACCCGATGGGCCCCATCAGTGGGCGGGGGCCATCGGGTGGCTCTGCTACACGTGGGGGCCGGGCAGTGACAACCGTTATGGTTGTCACCCCCTGATGGCGGCCCTGGTAACAGCACCCGTTAAAGCTACAGCCAAACAGAGGCAAAAACACAAGAGATCTTCTAGATCAGAGCTGTCCGCGGGCAAATGTTCTACAGGTGATACTCAAAAAATTAGAATATCATGCAAAAGTTCATTGGACTTCAAGCATCTTGCAGTGTGTGCCTCTCCATTCTTCATCCAGACTCTGGATCCTTCGTTTCCAAATGAGATGCAAAAGTTGCTCTCATCAGAAAAGAGGACTTTGGACCACTGAGCAACAGACCAAGTCTGTTTTTCTTTAGCCCAGGTAAGACCCTTCTGACGTTGTTTGTTGTTCAGGAGCGGCTTGACAAGAGTAATACGACATCTGAAACTCATGTCCAGGATCTGTCTGTGTGTGGTGGCTCTTGATGCACACATCAGTCTCAGTCCACTCCTTGTGAAAGTCCCCAACACTTTTGAATGGCCTTTTCCTGACAATCCTCTCCAGGCTGCGGTCATCCCTGCTGCTTGTGCACCTTTTTCTTCCACACTTTTCCCTTCCACATAACTTTTTATTAATGTGCTTTGATACAGCACTTTGGGAACATCCAACTTCCTTCGCAATTACCTTTTGAGGCTTTCCCTCCTTATGGAGGGTGTCAATGATGGTTTTCTGCACAACTGTCAGGTCAGCAGTCTTCCCCATGATTGTGATTCCTACTGAACCAGACTAAGAGACCATTTAAAGGCTCAGAAACCCTTTGCAGGTGTTATGGCTTACTTAGCTGATTAGAGTGGGACACTGTGAGGCTAGAATATTGCACCTTTTCACAATATTCTAATTTACTGAGATTGTGGATTTGGGGTTTTCAGGAGCTGTAAGCCATAATCATCGCACTTATGACAAATCACAGCTTGAACTATCTTGCTTTGCATGAAGTTTCCTATTCAGAAAAGTGAAATTCCCATAGGAAAGCATTGAATAATGCTTTCCTATGGGGAGGTCTAATGCCTGTGTGCGCATGCGCATTAGTGAGCAAGATATTACTTTGCTGCAGAGGGATTTAGATCGATTGGGGGAGTGGGCACTCAAATGGCAGATGAAATGTAATTTAGATAAAAGCACATTGATGCAATTTAGCGTAAAGAATGCACGAGCAGCTTACACCCTAAATGGCAATGAATTAAGGATTTGGGATTTTTTGTAGACAACAAAATAGGCAAAAATGTGCAATGTCAATGAGCAGCTGCCAAGGACAGTAAGATATTGTCATGTATAAATAGGAGTGTGACAAACTGGACCATGTCACAGGTTCTTGGAGGGGCATACTTGTCAGCCTCTTACCCTGTGACTATGGCTCGTGTGATAAAACTTGGTTAAAATCACCATTTGTGCCAGGAACCATTCGAACTTTCAAAGTGGCACTTTGAACACCCGAAGTGCCCTTCGACCGCGTGGTGGCAGCAATCTTGTTCGCATGGACCAAAACCACAAATAGACTTCAAAGGGACTTAGCCGCGAATGCCCTGGAATTATTTTCGGCTATGGAACCATTCCTGCGGTCAGTAAAAAATATAACTTCCAGAAAATTTCTGAACCCCTGATCTGGGTGATATTTGCATATGTTGGTCACCCAGATCAGGGCTATCGGGATGTAGGATGGTTTGTGGGGATATTGTGTGTTTTGGGGTTTTGTAAAATATATGTTCTTTTTCACTTGGAGATAATTGAGTTGATACATTAACTCCATTATCTCCCAAGCAGAGGGGTGGGGAGGATTGGGAATGCCTTAAATTGTAACTCTATTGTTATTGGTTTACAAGATTGTGTCACTGTCCCCAGCAAGGTCCATGTGGGCATACCCCTTCCATGGGGATGGTCATAAAAGGCCAGTGTGTAACCATTAAAATCGCCTCGTGTTTGTAGAGGCATGCTATACAAGCTATAACCACTAGCTCTTGTAAGTGCTTCACATCTATACCTGCTATACTCTCTTGGAGGAGAAGCCTTCCCACTGCGAGCTGGATCCAGGAGCTTGGTCCAGGGTGGGAAGAGACTGCGAGACCCCCAGCCAACCTACGGTAGATAGGGGGCTACAGTGCTGATGGTCTGGTGGAGTGCTTGGAATCCTCGGTGAGCACTAGGAGCATCGATTGACGGAGGCACCACTTGGGGTGGCAGGCAGTCAGTCACAAGCAGCATTAATTCTCGGTATGAGATTATATCTTAAAGTTCATAACAATTTTTATTGTACTTAAACCGTAATATAAAACATCAAACACAATGTCTCTTGTGAGTAAGTATGGTGTATAACGCTACTCACTGCCAGGCTTTGTAACTCTAAAAATCCATGCGATAGGGCTGTGACTGGTAGCTTGAAATCTCTGTGCAGGCCGTAATGTGGCAAGTCAGTTCTCCCGTTTTCACACTCGCCACCTACAGTGTAAGCTCTGGAGTCTCTGCCCCTCCACGTGCCATGAGTGTGACATCATCTATGCGTTTCACTGGTTGCTTTCGGCTTCCTCAGGACGTAATGCTTCCTTCTCCATCTGGTAGAAGGTTATTTAAGGGCACATTCAGTCCTATTCTGATCGCCCTGATAACATCAAATCCATTATTTACATATTGCGATGTGATTGTATTTAGTCAGCGGTCACAAATAGCTTTTAGCAATATAAATTAATCCTTGCACTTAATTTATACAAAATAATTTATAATTTTACAGAAAACAGCAATATAATATGCAACTTTATTAGACATAATGAGAGAGATTATATAAAATTGGACATATCTCAGCCTATGTTCTTATATTAATGCATATGCATCTTTAAAGTCATATCCAACATACAAAATATTAAACCAGCTTGGTTTTTAAAAAGAGAAAAGTGAATAAATTTCACATAATAGAAATATAACCCTGAAAATGTGGCTATCAAAAAAGATATATACCAGGGCAGGCAGTATAGATGAATGGATACCACCAGTAATAGATAAAAAATAATAAACCAAAAAATCCTATTTCATGAAAAAAAATATATATTAAAAAGTGTGAAAATAACTATGAAAATTTATTTTGAAAAGTACAACAAAAAAAAACAGCACCCCCTCTAGCCAACAAGCAGACTCCACTCACATTGCCGCTGCCATTATGCGACTCTGGAATACCCCAAATGGCACCATCCAACACTAACCGACACACAAACACTTACACATTCTTGCAGACACTCACATAATTTTCTTTATTGCTCCCTACCTTTGGGAGATGGTGTGGGGCCTCTCCCTGGGGTCCAGTGGGGATCTTGTATCTGGAGATCTCCTTCCTGCTCTTCACTGCTCCCTCGCGCACAATTTAGTGATGCCGGGTGCTGGAATATGATGTCATATTCCGGCACCTGTCATCACTACAGACGGTGCACGCGAAGGAGCAGGAAGACTGAGCTCTTCCAGCGACCTCTTCGAGTCATGGCCCGGTAAATTTTAGCAGAGTAGGCACCTGCAATGTGGAGAAAGCAGGTGCCTACTCTACTTTAACACGAAGCATGTACATGTACGAAGCGGGGCTGCAAAGATGTTCATTTTAAAAAAAGTCATTATTTAATCCAATTGGTACCAAAGTGTTTAAAACAAATATCCATTTCATCTCTGCCTGTCCTAGTTTTTGATTAAAATCACCACCTTTTAGTTACCTTTAATCTAAAAAAACAAAAAACAAACGTGAAATCAACATTATGGTGGTCTCTAAAATAAAGAAATAAAGTGACACTTGAGGTTTTGCAAATGTTATCTTTATGTTGTACACATGCTCACATATTCTCATGCATAGCAACCTAGTGGTGTGGCCTATATATTTTAGCCCACACAGACATGTGAGCATGTATTCCGAGAACTGAAGGTCATACCATCTATCATAGTATAGGTTTTATTATTAGTTGTAAATTCTTAAACACATTCTCCCTCCCCCGCCCCCTTCATATGAACTCAATAATTTTTTTTTAATAATGTCCTTGGGAGCCTCTAAAATGTTAACGGTCATAATTCTTTTTAAATTGGGTACCCCCTTATGCACTATCCTCGGTTTTGATGGTAGAATGCCTTTCAGGATAGATTCATTTAATAGTAGGTGGCAAAAATGGTTTATTCCTCCCCCTTACGTTATTATTGTGACCTCCAGAAAACTGACAAAGGGTATTCCGTTATATTCTGTGTGGTTTCTATTTTTATATTTTAGCAACTGTATTCAATCTAATGCTTGTTTCTTTAGTAGCAGTTATTAAAATGTCTTCATTATGACCTTTATCTTTAAAATATTGGATCACTTTTCTGCTCTGTTGTATAAAAACCCTGTCATCCGTGCAGTTTCTTTTGAGTCTCATTAACTGACTCTTAGGTATGCTGTTTAGCCATGGGCTGTAGTTGTAGCTTGTATATAACTATTGACGTCAACGGACTTTAAAAAATAAATAAAAAAATGTTTGTTTTAATCATATCGTCCTCTATATAGATGGTAAAATCCAGAAAGTTAATTTCTTTTCTACTATAGCAAAAAGTTAATTTTATACCCCAATTATTGGCTTTAATATATTCAATAAATAATTTTAAAAGACCTTCTCCACCTTTCCAGATTATAATCGTCAATATATATTTTATACAGCACGAAGTCTACACCCCAGCCACTTGCTTCACTCATATACAGTGACTCCCAATAAGCCATAAAAGGTTAGCATCGCTAGGGGCAATCTTGGTGCCCATTGTTGTGCCACATTTCTGGAGATAAAAATCCCCTTGAAACCAGAAGTAGTTCTCCAGAATAAATTGAATAGACTCCAAGACAAATTCTTATTGGCCGCAAAGGTATGAAGATGATGTTTCCAAAAAATACGAATATAAAACACTCCTGCCATTTTCTCTCATTTAAGGCTTGGAGTATACTAGTAGTGTCCCTCAAATAAGATGGACGTTGTTGAACCAATGGTTGTAATATATGGTCCACATACTCTCTCCACCCGAACCATGGCATTCAATATCAAACGGAGGCAGCTCACCCTGAGGAAACTTGATGAAATCGCCCAGATTAAAAAAGATTGTGAAAAGTTAAAAACAAAAAAAGAGTTCATAGAGCACGCTTACAAAATAGGAGAGAGATTAGATAAACTCAGGTATGATGTAGTAGGTAAATTGGAAAGCGCTTCAAACTGTTTTTTTTGCCTTCTTTTGAGAAACAGCAAAACAAATGTAAGAAAAGTTTAACACTGCTCTTTTCAGCCTATGTAACGTTGAATGTAACTTTTTTGTTTGCTTTATATTTTTAACATATCGTTATAATAGCTTAAACAATAAGGGTTTATTTTTTTACCCCAATGTATCATTTAAGAATGTAAAGTGTGCTATATACTCAATAAAATAGAAGTACAAAACCCAACTGTCAGTCAGAATGTTTTGTTTTTTTATTTAGGTAAATGGTCCAGCAGAAAAGGAAATAATTGGAAGTTGAAGCATTAGGTACAAGTCACATTAAGGCCCTTACACTTAGAGTGAAATAGTCAAAAGCACTCTAACTTTTCCTGTCTTATCTTTATAGCTCTTAAAAAATTATATGTATATATTTCATTTCCTTCCCACCCACAGGTACATTACACAGAATGTAAGAGAAAGAATCCAAAGTCAGGATAGATTACCAGAATCTACTTTTCCTAGGCTTGCTTGGCACATGCAAGGTGGGAGGTCAAAGCACAATTTGGCAAAAACAAAAATAAAAAAAACAACCCAAGAAAACAAAGAACAAAACAAAACAAAAACATAATGAAAACAAAAACACTACATTTAAAATTGTTACAATTTTAAAGCCACAGAAGGGAAACTGCACACACAGAAACATGTGCATATATATCCATATATATTATAAACACACACGCACACAATATGTACAAATACACACACAGTACTGTGCACTAAAGTCTTAGGTCACACATGAAAATTAGGAATAAATCCATCAAACTGGGCACTAAGTACTTTTTTAATTAGAAAAAGAAAAAAACAAAACAAAAAACAAGTCATTCCATGTACTACATTTGTTCTATCCACCAGCATGATTGATTCAGCTTGTGAATAATCCACATATTTAATTGGCTGGGTTGGTTTGCAAATTGTGATACAGATATAGTGCATGGGATGTAAGCATACAAAGAATCCCTAGTTTCCAGTAGATGACAGTCATTTAAAATTTTCCAACACAGCCAAAAGATATGAAGTTGACAAAACCTGACAAAAAGCAGAGCTTCATTCATCACGTTTTGCCAAGTTAAGAATCTTCTTGCACATTGTGTGATCTGGTCTATAGAAGATTCTGCAAGCCTCCAGAGACCATATTGCTGTACTATAGTTTCTCTGGTGAAGCACCAGGAGCGGAGGAAACAAAATAATGGTGCCCACGAGGGACAGCTTCAGGTAAATATAGTTTACAACTGCTTCTCTGCTTACCCTTCAGCCAGCACCCCGAGCAGGGATGTCACCTTTGTGGAACTAGTGCCATTTTAAGCGTTTAAATCAACAAACTGAAGGCAGAATAGACAGCGGGAAAACTGTGTGTATCTGATAATCAGTTCTTTGTGCATGATACCTACAAAGACATGTGACAACAAATTAAACATCTTGATCACAAGCAGAACTATTCTTGCACATACAATTAACAAAAGGCAACAAAGCAGAAGAAATGACAGTAGACAAAAACACCATAAAGCATGGAGCATAGCCACTGGCGGAAAAGGCATGAGCAATGCTTTGGTTCCTAAAAGACATCAATATGTCAGATCTGGGAAGAATCACATTAGTGCCAGTTTGCAACTGTACATGATGCATGATAGCAGCTCTCTCGTGGTCTGTGAAGAATTTTCGTAAATAACGTATAGAGAATGACTAATGATGCAAAAAAATAAAAAATTAACATTTTTTTTTTTTTATCTACCATACAATTTCTTCAAGAAGATAATAATAAAAAAAAACACAATTGCAAAAAGAGTTCTGTTTCTTCCAGCATGATAACGACCCAAAACTTTCAGCATGTGTAAAATAAGAGCTACGTGGGGTGTAAGTATATAGGCAGTCAATTCATCTTGCCTATCTTTGAGTTTCTTAGCATTACTGAAGCTGTGCGGTATTATTTGGACATCCAAAAAGAACAAAAAAAACAGGTAAAGTGAGAAAAGGAGAAAATATAAAAAGTAACTTTTTAATTCTCTGGAAGGCCACATAAAATGCTGATTTTGTTTTTAAAATTAAAAACAAATACTTTGTTACTTTTGATTGATTTACTTCCATAATAAACAGTGCGTAATTGTTCATTTCAGTGTAATAAGATGTGCACATTACCGTGTGTGAACACACACACACGTGTGTAAGCAAATACACATAGGCATACATACACTTTCCCCAGACACACACTATTAGAAAGTAACTAACTAGTCTGCAAAACATATCATACATTGTCTCTGAAACTTTAATCTCTCTTAAAGTCTGTAACGCTGGAAATTTCATTAGAGTTCATACTGTAGTTCCAAATCTTGAGATAAAGCGCTCACTCAGTCTGTAGGATCATGGGCGGATTTTCACTGTCTTCATCTAGCCGGAGAGCACAAGTTTCATTTTCCAAGCTGAATCCTCCCACTGCTCCCATATCTTCAGAATAACCTGTGTGGAGAAAATGTTGCTGAATTCCATTCAAACAGTTCCTCTACAAAAAAAATAAAATAAAACAAACAAACAAAAAAAAAAGCTTAACTTTGCTGCAACCTGCCAACTATTAAAAAGGGTACCACACACACAAAAAAACAATCTTTGCTCATTGAATTGGTCATGGTGAAAAAAGGCCAGTTCTTACGGTGTCCTTGTACATAGTCCTGTTCCAAACTATTTTACATCCCAATAAGTCAAATTTGTATCCATTTTATACACTAAGCACCATAACAACTACAGTGCCAGGAGTTGGTGAGGTCAAACCATTTAAGTATGGGTGGGCACATACCGGTCTCTGTTTTTCAAAAGCAGAAGTTCATACCACTGCATTATCATACCAACTCACACCAAGTTGGGACATTATTCATAGACTGAAATCATCAGCTGACAGCTCTCGGCCAAACAGCAAATATCCCAACCTTCTTATGCTGAAGTATTGACCTCTGCTTTACTATACCAGGGAAATGCAGAACTGTTCTTAAATGGTTTGACAGGAAAAGTAGGCTAGATATTGGATTTATTAAGGGAAAGCCGAAGGAACAACTCAGCAACGACACTGAAAGCAACATTTTTTTTCCATGCTATCGTGTTTACTCTATAATCTATGAATTCACAGGACTATCTTTAAATGTCTGCCAGAGATTGGGCGAAATACATTTATATATGGTAGTCACCATCACCTGGAGTTTCATACAGACACTTTATGTAGGACGTTGGACTACGCCTATGTCTAAGTCACCCTATACACATTATAGGTGCATGGTGTATATTGTTGCTATATCTTTTGTCTGCTCTCCTGTCCTGCTGAGGATTGCTACCAACCAGGTGGATTTGGCTATGGAGCCTGTGTAGCGCCCTCTGTTGGTAGCAACAGCAATATGACTACCTGAATAGCAAGGCTGGTTAATTTGCATATTCATGTAGATTTTCATATTGATAATTCTGCAAAAAGAAAGATATTTTGTGCTGGTTATTGTCTTCCGCATCCCTTTATAAATATGTTATACTAGTATATATTCCTGTATATTTTGTGACATGTTTTGGTTATTTTAATTGTATTAAGTTTGTCACAGCAATCTAAATGTAATAATCACATAGGCTAGTCCCAAGTAAAAAAGTATTGTATGTTAGTCCCTTTTAGAATGGTGTCCTGTGTGGATTTTTAGGGATCCCAGTGACAGAGTCTTCTGACCTGTTGGCTGGTTGCATGATCCATCTAGCCCTGAGATAAATCACAAGAGCTAGGCCTGAGAGCTGCAAGTGCCTTTGTAAAGGTAATGGCAATCACTGTAAGCAGAGCCTGGAAGAAAAGCTGCAGAGAGAACGATAACTGCTTCGAAGGAGAGCTGCAGCCTGGTCGTTTAGAAGAGCACTGGAGAGACCCAAGGTGACTGGGGCTGAAGCGTTCCAGGGTCGCTGCAAGCGGCTAGGAAGCAGACTGGGTTTTTATATGGAAAGGGTTAAAGGGACACTGTAACCATTTTATCTCATTAAATTGATTATAGTTTCTGGAGTCCTTTGATGCTGCCCCTCCATTTAGTGTTAAACAATTTTCAAGCAGTTTAACACTAAATAAGGAAATGTTTCAATGTTTCAATTTGACTTGTTCTGCAGTTGAGTATATGGCGCCATATTACACTTAATATCCAATCCATATTTAGACCAGCAAAGTAAAAAACATTGTTGACTATGTAAATAAATATAAGCAAGAGAAAGAAGATGGAAATAATGTTTTGCGCAGACCGCTCCATGCAAACAATTCCCAAACTTATGCAAATGCAGGATTCAGAAGAGCCGTACTTACCATGTCGTGTTGGAGATGAAGCATTATACGCTTGTGTCACTAGGGGCCTGTCATGTGATGCAGACTCTAAAATCTCACTGCCAGGTTCCATGCTGCCATCCAACCTTAAAGCAAAACACGGACAATGTGAAAACACAAACCAGATAATAAGGCTCATATGGACCTCTGTGTCCCTACACCAAATCAGTCTGTTTTGAATAATGCAATTTGACGTAGATTGTATTACAGTCAAGGCATCTGTGAATAAGGAAATGGGATTCATCAACTACTTTTCACCAAATAATTTCATGGTTCTTTTTAAATGTCACACATTAAAGGCATTATGAACAATAGAGCACAGAACAGTTTTTTTTTGTTTTTTTTTAAGAAAGAAAATATAAAGCTATCAACTTAAAAAGAAAAATCATGAATTAAAACAGTAATTCAATCCTTGCAATCTTATTGTTCAGACACGGAGCAGGACTAAAGACAATTAAAGCTGTTGTTAATCAAGTGCTTTTACACCTAAAAAGTCATCAGTGGTAATTTGATGTTAGAATTGATAAGTTAGATTGACTGCTTGTCTGTTCAATAGCTTAAGATATTCTGTTTTACAAGAATAATTTTTTTTTTTTAATTAGCTTAAGATATTCTGTACTACAAGAATAAAATAAACCCGAACTATTACTATAGTATAACCCTATTTTTAGGGCCTTCTCTCTACCTGTAGCTAGGATCCTCCACCTGTTATGGTGCAATGACTAACCATTTAAAACCACTTAGTATGCTTAAATTGGTGGAAAAATTCATCCAAGTATAGTGACTATGAGTTAGCCAAAGAGATTTTGCTGTCCAACAAGTGACTGTAAAAAGTAGTAAACATCCAAGGTAAAGAGACACTCCAATCTTCCTAAAGCTTGTTACTGTGCTTTTAGAATTAACACGTTCATAAAACCCCCTTAACGTCTACCTCCTGGTTGTCTGGATTAATGTCTCACTCTTTTTTAACAGTACAGTAGTTCAAAGCAAAAGTGAGCAAATCTCAGCAAAGGCTGAGCATGCGTCCTTTGTCCCTATCTTTCAACAGAAGTCATCATAGATATTTTAGTGAGAGCAGATCTGTTTGCAGTGAGGAGACTTTACCAGCACTGGAATAAGGTTTTTGGGTAGACGTGGCAGTAATCTCAGCACATTGAAGGAACACTATAGCGTTTGGAATACCAAACTGTATTCCTAATGCTAGAAAATAAAAATATATTTTTATTTTCTTCTTTTAAATGCACCATTTTCTAGTGCACCAGGTCCAAGTGGTGGGTTGGAACTACTCCTCCAGTGACATCACACCAATGTGGAAACCTAATGCACATGCACAGTGAGCTCCCCATACACTTTAGACTTCCTGTAGGAAAGCCGTGATAAATGCTTTCCTATGGAGATTTTGAAGACGCTGGACACATCTGCATGTAAATGTTTATGACATTTTTAAAGCAGCACTGTCATACCGAATTTACTTTTCTTTAAATCAATTCCTCTTCTCTCCCTCTGTCAGGATCTGTTCATTTCTTTCTGTCCGCTCTAGTTTTCTTTAAAACATAAGACAAAGTAGGGACTATTTGTCTTATGGAGGTTTCCTACGCTTGACCAGCGGAGAAGCAAAGTGTGCTTCGTTTCTGGAGACCAAAGCAATTTCCCCACAATTCTCACGTTTGATCCATGATCTCGCGATGCTTCCTGTCAGCATTCCCGAACTTAAACAGAATGAGAACAGTTTCTCCATTCGTGTTAGGATGCAATTCAGGACTTTGTCCAGATCAGAATTTTATTCTAACGAATGAAACTCCGATACACGGTATCAGGGAGCTATCTACTAAAAGGCTGAAAGACCTAAATTGGTCTAAAGCTGCTCACTGTTTAGTAGACATGCCCCTACTTGAGGCATAGCGAGTAGGGGCAGAATTTACTAACACTAAGTAATCTTTACTTAGTATTAGTAAATTTGTCTGAAAGGCCAATTGAGGTCTTTCAGCCTTTTGGTAGATAACACACTGATACCGTGGGAATTAGGGAGTTATCTACTAAGCGGCTGCAAGATGCACGACTAGGATCAGAGTTTCATTCATTAGAATAGTCCGAATTGCGTCCTAACACAAATGGAGAAACTATTCTCATTCTGTTAAGACGAAATTTGGTAGTTTCGCTGGCGTTCTGTCTAAGTGACAGGACGTTCGGGAATACTGACAAGAAGCATCGTGAGATCACGGATCAAAGGTGAGAATTGTAGAAAAATTGCTTTGATCACCGGAAACGAAGCACACTTTGCTCCTTCCTCCGCTGGTCAAGTGTAGGAAACCTCCATAAGACAAAGTAGTCCCTACTTTGTCTTATGTTTTAAAGAAAACTAGAGCAGACAGGAAGAAATAAAGAACAGATCCTGACAGAGGAAGAGAAGAGGAATCGATTAAAGAAAGGTAAGTTCGGCATGACAGTACCGCTTTAAATGGAGTTAAACAACATGAAAATGCAGGAAGTGCCTTGACATTGCAATGTAAATATTACAGTTTCTCTGAAGGGGACAGGGGCACTTCATCCAGACCACTTTAAAGAGATGAAGTGGTCTGGGTGCCTATAGTGTCACTTTAAATCCAGTGTAAAAAATAAATTTAAAAAAAATCAGATAAACTATAGCACATTCTAAGCCTTGCCTATATGTCTTACTTATGCTGCTTCATTAAGGTGCATTCTCCACCTTCTTGTGGGTCCACATTGTAGATGTAAAGGTAGCCATCAGCTGCTGCAACAAGTAAGCGGGGGATCTTTTGGATCCTTGAATGAGAAAAATAGTAACTTTTATTAATATGACAGTCTTCAGAAACTATGTTTACATCATCATATAACATTTTACACTGACTAAAGCTTGAGTAGTGCACAAAGAAACATTGTTTATATTAAAAGTTAGCCATTATTGGGCCTAGTTACAATACATCATCATAACTGTTCAAAGAGCTCTCTCCTCTTTCCTTCACAGCAGGAACAATAGAATTATTAAACATTCACACATTCTGATTGGCTGATGACATGTTCTTCTCAACAAGTATTGTGATGGAATTCAAAGAAGACAATATAAAAAACTGAGGAAAAAGGTGTAATGTATAACATAAAATAAAAATATGAGCAGCTACATACATCCACAAGTGACTAAAACTGAGTGTAAGCTCAAAGATCAAAAAAGTATGTGCGCTCGTCAATGTAATAAAAATAAAAATAAAGAGTATCTATGAGATGCAAATATACATTTACTTTATTAATATAAAATAAAACTTATATGTAAAAATAAATAAAAAATAAAATCATGACCACCCTAACCTAATGCTGTATGACAGAAAGAGATCCTAGAAAAGGCAAATATAACCATACAAATATGGACACAAAAGTAGGCAAAATAGAGCGCCCCAGACACAATGTATAAAACAAAGTGTCTAAGAGTCCATGTGCCCACAATGTAACCACAGATGAAATACAAATCAATAAATTAATACAGAAAATACCTTTTCTCGGTGTGGGCCCCCACTGAGGTACAAGTAAAAAATAATGATACAAGCCTTGAGAGGGTGTGATGAAATCAATAAAGCGATGAATAGTTGCGGACAGCAGACCCCCCCCCCCCGGGGGAGTTAACCGTTGCAAAAAAGCCCGTGGTGTAGGAAAGCAAACCCCCAACAGGGATCGTAGAAAGTCCACAATATTCAAAACACTCTCACTCTTAGAGAGGCCCACACCGAGAAAAGGTATTTTCTGTATTAATTTATTGATTTGTATTTCATCTGTGGTTACATTGTGGGCATATGGACTCTTAGACACTTTGTTTTATACATTGTGTCTGGGGCGGTCTATTTTGCCTACTTTCGAATTCAAAGAAAGCCAGGAAAAAAAATAAACCTCTAATTACCACCTGATGACCTGATAGCTAACCTTACCAACGTTAGTTAATATGTTGAAGGCATTATTTCCAAACAGATTTATGTAAAGAAAATATATGAGCATACAAAGCATAAGATGTTGGTCCCTCTTCAATTATGTAAAAGTAAAGAACTAAATATAAGTTTTGCACATGGGAAAAAAAAAAAAGCATTTAAAGAGCAGACAATTATGTCCACACATTACACAAGCCAAGAAGATACAGAGATCAATTAAGATCATTAAGATTTTAATGTATACATCTAGCCAGGGCTGGACTGGCCCCAACGGGATAGCGGGAAATTTCCTGGTGGGCCGCGGCACCTGGGGGCTGGGACTGATCAGACAGCCCTAAATTAGTCTTTCATTTAAATTTTAAATGATTTTCCCCTGGGACTAAGACAGCCTGTATCAGTCTGGGGGGAGTAAAGAGGGAGGAGGTAGGGGCTGGTGCGGCCGCAATTAGGGGGCTGTCAGCCAGAGGGAAACCTGTCAGTCATCCTTCAAAATTTACAGCAATTCAGGCCGCATGCCCCGCCTTTAAGCCCACCTCCTGAACACAAGCCCTCCCCCCACACGGAAGCTGCTGACCTAGCTGGAATGAAGAGGCCAGACAATGACACCTTCACCTACAAGTGCCAGGTAAGCTTTGTGTGTGTGCCTGCTAGTGAGGGAGTTTGCGTGTGTGGTGTGTGCGCCTGCAAGGTAGTGAGGGAGTTTGTGTGTGCGCGCCTGCCTGCTAGTGAGGGTGTTTGTGTGTGTGTGTGTGTGTGTGTGTGCGCCTGCCTGCTAGTGAAGGAGTTTGTGTGTGTGCACCTGCCTGCTAGTGGAGGGAGTGTGTGTGTGCCCCTACCTGCTAGTGAGTGAGTGTGTGTGTGTGCCCCTGCCTGCTAGTGAGGGAGTGTGTGTGTGCCCCCGCCTGCTAGTGAGGGAGTGTGTGTGCCTGCCTGCTAGTGAGGGAGTGTGTGTGTGTGTGCGCGCCTGCCTGCTAGTGAGGGAGTGTGTGTGTGCGCACCTGCCTGCTAGTGAGGGAGCGCGCGCGTGTGTGTGTGTGTGTGCGCCTGCCTGCTAGTGAGGGAGCTTGTGTGTGTGCGCCTGCTTGCTAGTGAGGGAGCCTCTCTGTGCGCGCGCGCCTGCTAGTGAAGGAGCCTCTGTGTGCAGCCCAGCATGCCTGGGGAGCCTCCTCGTAGCACACTGGTAGAGGCACCTTGGCACCTGCTGTGAGAGCCTCTCTGTGTCTTGGCGCCTGCTTGAGTGAGGAGTGTGTGTGTGTGTGTAGCCTGCCTGCTGTGGGAGTGTGTGTGTGTGTGTGTGTGTGCAGCAGCCTGCACACCTAGTGAGGGAGTGTGTGTGTGTGTGTGTGTGCCTGCCTGCTAGTGAGGTGTGTGTGTGTGTGTGTGTACCTGCCAACACACACTGAGTAGGGAGTGTGTGTGTGTGGCAGCCTGCCCTGCCTGCTAGTGAGGGAGTGTGTGTGTGTGTGTGTTTTGGCATGCCTGCTAGTGAGGGAGTGTGTGTGTGTATGTCTTCTGCCTGCTAGTGAGGAGTGTGTGTGTGTGTATAGCCTGCCTGCTAGTGAGGGAGTGTGTGTGTGTAAGCCTGCCTGCTAGTAGGGGAGGCGCGTGTGTGCATACCTGCTGAGTGAGGGAGTGTGTGTGTGTGCGCCTGCCTGCTAGTGAGGGAGCGCGCGCGCGCGTGTGTGTGTGTGTGTGTGTGCGCCTGCCTGCTAGTGAGGGAGCTTGTGTGTGTGCACCTGCCTGCTAGTGAGGGAGCCTCTCTGTGCGCGCGCGCCTGCTAGTGAAGGAGCCTCTGTGTGCGCGCGCCTGCTAGTGAGGGAGCCTCTCTGTGTGCGCGCCTGCTAGTGAGGGAGCCTCTCTGTGTGCGCGCCTGCTAGTGAGGGAGCCTCTCTGTGTGCGCGCCTGCTAGTGAGGGAGCCTCTCTGTGTGCGCGCCTGCTAGTGAGGGAGCTCTCTGTGTGCGCGCCTGCTAGTGAGGGAGCCTCTCTGTGTGCGCGCCTGCTAGTGAGGGAGCCTCTCTGTGTGCGCGCCTGCTAGTGAGGGAGCCTCTCTGTGTGCGCGTCTGTTAGTGAGGGAGCTACTCTGTGTGTGCGTCTGCTAGTGAGTAAGTGTGTGTGTGTGTGTGTACCTGTTCGTGAGTGAGCTTGTATGTGTGTCAGTGAGCTTGTCTGTAGGGTGCATGAGTGCGTCAGGCAGATTGTCTGGTGCGTGCAGTGAGCTTGTCTGTAGTAAGCATGTTTGTGACCATGGGCTTGTGTGTAATGAGAATGTGTGTGTCAGTGAGCTTGTCTCTAATTAGCATTTGTGTGTCAGTGAGCTTATCTGTAGTGAATCTGTGTGTTGGTGAGCTCTTCTGTAGTGAGCGTGTGAGTTTGTCTGTACTAAATTTGTGTGTGTGTGTGTGTACCAGTAAGCTTATCAGTGTGTGCCATTGAGATGGTCTGTCAGTGAGCTTATTTGTGTGCATCAGTAAACTTGTGTTTCTATGTCAATGAGCTTATGTATATCAATGTGATTATATATACATATATACATATATGTACACACATATACATATATGTACATGCACACACTACATAGCACAATGACTTATGGGACTGGCATCGTTTTTTTTTTTTTTTCAAGGGCTGCTTTGTATCTTCAGTCCGGCCCTGCATATAGCTGGTTTCCTGACAGACGTGTATTATTACTTTCCTGGGGAAAACTTGGGCATGACATCCTGTGAATTTACAATAGAATATTACAAGCACTCATTGCATTGTGGGATGCACTTGTGAAGTTTTTTTTATCTCCAGATCTATAAATCTGGAAACACAATTTACAGATTGTTTTAGTCAAACAAATCACTTACATAGCTAGTGCACAGATGTTTTTGTGTCCACAGAATGGTAATCTAACTGTTGCAAAAGCCCTGCCCTGGTTGAACATTTCAGTAACCTGTGATGGCAGATAACTTGTGGATGCCATGATCACTTTTCCAAAATACCCAGTCCAAGTAGTGGGTTCCTCTGGAGGCCTGAAACAATAAAACAAAGTATGGCAAAATAAATAAATGCAGCACAATTTATCTCATCTACAGCAAAAGGATGACCCATCAAATCTACACTGTTACAAATAAATCTTTATTCTAATCATGACATCCCTACTGTATTACTCTCAGTGCCCGGGTGCTAGGGTATATGTTCCAGGAGCTTGAGGCATGAAGGTGGGCATTTGAACACAGTTAACCATTATGACATCCTGTGCTCACTCCTTTGAGTGCTAGTGTTTAGCTATTGTCAATATATCAAAACTTGACATTTTAATAGCAACTTTTTCAGTTTTCCTTTATTACTTTCACCTTTTATATATTTGTTGTTTTTTTTGTTTTTTTTACACACGGTTTGTCTTATTTGTATAATGTATGTCTTTCTCACTTTTATTATCGAATATTTGTGTAAATAAAATTTAAAAAAACGACAACACTTACTTTTCTTTTACAGTCTCCAACTTAAAAATGTGCACAGTTTCTGTGTTACTGGATGCAGAGAGAAATAAGCCATCCAAGCTAAATGCCAAAGAACAAATATTCACGCACCTAAAAGTGATATAAAAATTAACATACATGCAAAAATTAATAGGATTTAAAATCTATATTTAGGCAAAAATAAATAAAATACTGTTTGTACACGCCTTTTCACACCCCTTCGAAACTCAAATATTTTCTGTCCTTCTGGAATGGAAAACACACGAATCACTGTACCCTGTCAAAGAAAAAAACAGTAGTAGTTCTTTTGTAAGAACAGGAAGCTCGCTTGACCCTATACATTTTAAGTTATTTAATAAAAGGTGGTTCATGGATTCTCATCTGACATCCTCATACAAACATTTGCATGGACAAAACTCCAGGAAATTCCTTCTCTTCAATTATCTCCTGTGTTCTACAAACAAGCATGTCAAACTCAAAGGCTAACAAGGGTCAAATAAAAGGTAAATAAAAGGTTTACGTTTATGTGGGCCGCAAAAAAAACAAACTCCACTTTTCACTCTCCACTTAAGACAATGTTAGAAAAGTAAAGTATAAAAAAAAAAAAAAGTCACCTCACTGACACTGGACGTCCTCACGCTCGTAGGGCTTCAAGGTATGCTTATTTTAAGGAGACGTGCATTTGCATAGAACCAATGTTTCAGTCCAACTACCTTGACATATTGAGAAAAGTTTGGTAATGGGACTGAAATTGTGAATGTATGCTGTTGCACAGCTGTAAAAAAAAAAGTTACATTATCTTGTTGATTTTTAAGTCCGATAATCTCAGTCAATCCAATGCTTTACCGTAGGAAAGCATCAGGAAGCTATTGTGCAAGTGTGCGCTCAGCATCTCCATGCAGACCCAATCTAATACACTGCCCCGTCTCCCCCATTCTAATACACTGCCCCCAGATCCAATACACTGCCCCCAGATCCAATACACTGCCCCCAGATCCAATACACTGCCCCCAGATCCAATACACTGCTCCCAGATCCAATACACTGCTCCCAGATCCAATACACTGCCCCCAGATCCAATTCACTGGCCCCAGATCCAATACACTGCCCCCAGATCCAATACACTGGCCCCTCCCTACACGCTTTTACACTGCCCCATCTAAAACACTGCCGCCCCAATCTAATGTACTGCCCCCCCCAAGTCTCCTACACAGCCTCCCACGCCCCCCACTCTAATACACTGCCCCTTTCCCTCCCGCCACTTTAATACACTACCCCCCTCCCTCCTCCAAAATAATGTAAAGCCCCCTACCAACAGCAATTTAATACACTGTACACAGGAAGGTTCCCCAAGCACCTCTTCCCCTAACTTAAGATGAGCTGTCTGTCCTCCAGGTCCAGCTCTTGTCTGCTCAAGCAGGCCAGGCGCTCCTCTAGCAGTGCCAGCAGGAGGAAAGTGGGGAGTGGCTGGCCTGCTCTGCAGACAGCCTGCCAATCTGTGCACTGTAGTACTGTGCAGCCAAAGCACGCAATTGGCCGTGGCAGGGCATCTGTCTTGTGGCTGGTCGCAGCCACAGCACAAAGCAGCCCCATGGCTAGTGGGCTGCAAATATATTCATTGTGTGCCGCAAGTTTGACATGCTTGCTTTATAACAATATAATGACCTCTGGGAAAGAAGGAGAGGGCTTGTGAGATAACTAGATGATATTTAACAATTTGCTGCTATGCAGAGGATGTTCCTGTCATGATAATTACAATATCCTAGCATTAATAAGCTTGCACTTGACAACAAACATAAATCACCGTCCTTTACCTTTTCTGATGCTGTAGCCAGCTTGGTTCCACTTGCATCAAAAGCCAATGCTGCAAGAGGACTGTCATGAGCAGGGATCATATTAGCAGCTCTCTGAAAAATTGTGGACGAGAAGAACTATATGAAGGAAAAACTACAAATATACTTTAAACAGATAAAAGTAGACTTTGAAGCGGAGGTCTCAAACTAGAGGCACCTAATCTCCCAGGTGTAGGGGGCGCTCCTGGCGTTTTTCTGGAGTGCCTGCGTGTGTATCAGTGTGTTTGGGAGAGATTATTGGTCTTTGAGTGTGTAATTGTGTCTATCAGTGCAGATACGTCAGTATGCATCTGTTGGTGAGCATCAGGTATCAAGGTTTACGGACCCCCATGTGAGAAGATCTCTGGCCAATAGCCCTCAGGTAAATGGAGTTTGAAAAACCTGCACTAGACATATCACAAAGATATATAGATATGCAGATTTAGACAGCTAAATATACAGATCTAAAATGTATAGATTAAAGCAGAATTGTCAATTTCTGGGGTCCAGTGTTAATTTTGTCGATTAACAATTATAGTCGACTAAAATATTTGAGATTTAGTAGACTAAAACTATACTAAAACAATTCAGATGATTAAAATACGACTAGAACTAAAATGGCATTTTAGTCAAAAGACTATATACTAAATTGAAATTTAGTTTTAGTCATAGTCCGCCAAAATTAATACTGCAGAGGGGCTGTGGAAGGGGCAAAAGAGACAGACCAGGGCTTGGGAAGAGAGAGAGAGACACCTAAAGAGGCTGGGAGGACACAAAGAGACACAGAGGGACTGGGGAAGGGGCAAAAGAGACCTTTAGATTTTAAATCGATTAGATTTTAGTCGTATTGACTAAAATCTACTTGAGATTTAGTCGACTAAAACTAGACTAAAACAATTCAGTCGACTAAAATACAATGAAAACTAAAATGGCTTTTTCGTTAAAAGACTAGGACTAAAACTAACTTGAAATTTGCCGCCAAAATTAACACTGCTGGGGCCTTTGCATATTCTGTAATTAGAATACACGGACCATGGGGTTTAATCAAAAAGTAGGTTTTACTTGAAGCTGCCCTTCACAGCCACCACCATCTTCATCTCTAGTTAGCCTCTTCAGTGCTGTACTTTCACATATGTATGAGAGTACAACACTGCACCTCCACAGATCGCATCTTGTCCATGAAACAAAGTAGCCGCTGCACTAGCTTATCATATCACGAACAGTCAACACTAGCATTTCATTATTTCTTTATGAAGTAATGAAAAATGACATTCTTTACATTTGCACATTTCACATACTGTGCAAGCCATTTCAGACCCATTATTAAGCTGTAACATCTACCAGTGAGCAAATATGCTGCATAGAGGTTTGAGACATTTTTATTTGTATTTTACAGTATACTTTTAACTTGAAACCTGCTCCCACAAATCACCACACTACGTATATAAGCGTATGTAATGTCACAGGATAATCACTAATACCAGGATCAAGGACCTTATTCAAGTAGTTATAATGGACAAATTTATTCAGTTTTTGCTGTTCAGCTCTCTAACATAGCTATACTTCTGTGCATACATTTTTCACATTCGACTCATTATTCATTAGTCATTATATGTTGAATTATCCTTTGTATCGTGTTCAGAATACAGGACTTACCAGATTAACAGTATCAAAGACTTGGACTTCTCCAATAGATGTACTTCCGGGATATGCAAGGTAGCAATTATCACCATTAATTGAAAGAGCACAAAGACCTTGAAACAGAAAAAAAACAATAGATTATCTTTTAAAGATTGCTAAAACAATTTACTGCATACTGTACTATGGTTGCAGGTTAACTGTTTAGATGCTGTATTTTCCTGAATATAGGATGCAGTTATTTACCTCTAAATAAAAAAAAACCTGCCTGCACCCCATATTCTGAGTGTCACCCAGCAGAAAGGAGGGAGGGTGTTCTTCACACTCTGTAGCGTTGCCGCACGTACCCCAGTAGAGGATTTTCTATAATCTATATCTGGTCTGGGAGCAGCTTCTTCTCAGACCAGGTAGAGGATAAAATAAATTAAAAAAAAGATCCTGTACTGTGGTCTTTGAAACACAGTGTGGAATGTAAAATGGTAGCGAGAGTCTATTTTACAAAACAGTTTAGGGTTGTGTTTGCTTATTGTATGCATACAGTCAATACGTAGCAAAAGACAGTCAGAAGGGAGATAAGGTGGAGTCAGAATCAGAGCAACGATCAAGGAACACTGGTCTAACAAAACTTTACGTCTTTCGTAATTTGTTTTAATTATAGTTACTGAAATTGCAACATAAGCAATATTACCCCTTCGTGTCAAATCCAGTTTTAGCTTGTTTAGCACTTGGTGATTATCTGTGTGTTGGAGTATAATATTTGTGTGTCTGTCAGTGCAGATCTGTGTGTGTGGTTCTGGGAGTACAAATCTGCTTGTGAACAATTGTGTAAGCAAGCGATTTATATATTAATGCTATGCTTAAGATTGTAGAGATTTGTTTTCTCTTACTTCCAGAGATGTATCTCCACTTCAGGTAGCATCATTGGCCAGCCCAGATTGAGATTTCTGGGCTGGGTAAAGTAAACTTTGTCCATAAAATACTTCTGTTGTTAGCACGCATAGTATGCGGAAGACGGGTGTACAGATTTCCCAGTAATGGTACAGTCCTCCCCGCTTTACCTTAATCTCTGTCTACTTCCCTCCATTCTGCCGGCATAGAATAAGCGCAATTGCAGTGCATGCACCTCAGGTCCAATAATACTTTTATATGAGGAGCATTCATTGAAACACAAAATGAAAAGGATAATGTGAATAAAGGTGCATCAGTCTGCAGGAAGAACTTGGCATTGGCCCTGGACTGAGAGGTCTCCGATTGGTCATTTGAACTGCACAGCATGCAAGCCTAATCTGGAGAAAAGGGAGAGTGCCTGCAAAGGCCGCAGACAGCATATTTGCAAGTTGGTTTTGTAGATATACCCACCAATGACAAAAGCGAATATTGTGTGTGTGTGTGTGTGTTTTTGGCCAGTGCAATGCTTTTTAAAAAAAAAAAAAAAAAGAAAGGTGGGCACTAAATGCAAGGGGTTACTCCAAAAAAACCAAAACGGTTGGGATAGCCTTTTCTTTTGTAAACCTGATGCTTGGCACATGGCATATACAAATCTAAGTGCTACTACAGACTATATAACTAACTGAGAGTATACTTTTGCCTGGATTTTGTGACCATACAGTGCCAAAACAGGACCTGCCTATTTAAATTTTAAATGGTTAATTTTCTGGGTTTTAGTCCAAGTTTAGGGGGCTCATTTTAGAAGCTCATCAATTCAAATAACCCAGTAAAGATCTTGCGTTTTCAAAAGTAGATACCCAAATGAATCACACATTGCATTTTATTACTTATAGCCAAGTCAATGACATTTCTTCTTGTGTTTCTTCCAATTGAAGTGCCAATTTTCTGTCCTGTATTCTGCACATTTGGCGGTGCATTTTGTAAAAGTTATTTGTGTGGATGCAGTAAAATGCTAAAATGGTATATATATTTCTCCTTAAAATATATGGTTCGTCTTGTACTACAATGCATCTTATTTTCAGAAAAATATGGAATATATACAGAAATCCACAAAGACAAACATCTAGCTAGATATCTTAGAATTTACACTGACAAGCTATTTTTCTGATGTATTAGGCTAGGGGCAGGCAATCTTCTAGCAGCACGGTGCTGAAAAAAAAAAGATTATGATGTCCCGTAGCGTGCTGCTCCTATTTTTTTTATATGGAGGTATGCATGCTGCCCTATTCTGCTTGTGTTATTTATACTGCAGTTGCTTTGTATCGTATTTCTGCATATATGAGCTATTATATTGTATATGTTCATGAGTAGTTGTGGTATTGTGTATCTATGAATGAGGGCTGTGTATGGGGGTTGCTTGAGGACTTGTTTGTGTGGATGGATATGTCACATTCTTTATTTGGCAGTGTGTATATGTGGGTCTGTTTTGGGTATTGCATGTGAGAGGCTGCATTTGGGGTTGTGTCTATGTATGTTTATGGTCAGTGGTCTTGAGTTTGTGCAGATTCTGTGTTGTATTTGTGTATGGACTGTTCGTATTATTTGTATGAGGGGAGAGTTATTCTGCAGCTATGTATAAATCTAGCAGTGTGAGTGGCTTCCCTAGGTTCCAGTGGGGACCAGTCTGGCCAGGTACAGCTCAAGGACAGGAGCTGCAAAAGCAGCTGCAGGCTGTTCTACTACAGTGTGGATTCCCATTCACAAGTGCTAGGAGGAAGTGATCTGACATCCCCTCTATGTGCTGCAATGCATAAATTGAGGATTGCCCTTCACCACCTTTTCGTATTACAGGTATCTGAAGACCCTGTTTGGGTCTAGCAGCCTTGAGTACCGTGCAAAGGCACATAGATTGCCTACCCCTGTATTAAGCCCTGCAGAAGGCATTTTTATAGTGTTCTATAAACATATTTCAAACATGTTTTGTTAGTTCTAGTTTAGCAAAGGGTTTTGTTTGCTTACTGTATACAGACCTTCAATACATTCTCTCTTGCAAACACACATTCTAATGTATTTCAGAACCCAGATGTGTGCTATTATAAATTGTGCCCCTGATGTCTTACAGCAGTGATCAAACCTTTTTTCTTTTATATATTTTTTAAACCGATATAAACAAATAGTTTTTCTGTCCATCACTCAAACCTATGTAGAAATTAGTATATACATGAAGCAACTTAACCCCTAAAGGTAAAACATAAATAAAGCACAGAACAGTACCAAACTACTGTGATCAAAAGTGTACAGTGATCAAAAAAACAGAACAGGTATATTTATATTTAATTCTTTTTTAACAAAAGGCTGCGTCAATAACACAGAACACAATGAATCCCTCAGAAAAGGTTCAGAGAAGATAAAAGCACTGCAATCACAGTTATTGGTTGATGTAGTGATCACATCTTGCTAGTATGCCTGAGGTAACTAGGGACTCAGCAACAGCATTTGCCTGGTGAGCACAAAAAAAGGGGCTTCACACTGCACTTTTTAGGGTTTGATGACATTCTGTCAAGGAACAGGAAGGGATTAAATGCCAACTGCACATGAGAAAGATTGTTCTAAAAAAACTTGGTCGCATCATCTGAAATACTAAAATAATTAGATCTGTCATTTTTTATTTGTATGAAGAAGAGCATGAACGGATAATGCATTTACTGAAAGAACACAAAAACACAAACTGTAATTATTGTAAGAGTCTATGAATGCTGAACATCACAGAAACTATAAATATATATGGGGGGCTTAACATCCAATATTTTAGCAGTCTACCAAGTCTTACTTATTTATGCTACGGAGACAACCAAACATTAAAGCTACCAAAAATTAAAAATAGTTATCTGGATGGGGTGTAATTTGGCTGTGACCAGGATGGCCACTTTAGCTCTGAGCTCTCTCTGAGCTCAAAGCAGCCATTCAGAGTGAAAACCACTTTGCTTCTATCACCATAATTGATGCAAAACTGAAAAAGACACAAGCAAAGCTGAATCCATATCGGTTTCAAGACCAATGGAGAGCTTCTCCCTCAGTTGAGACCTTGCTGGTTTCCTTGCCGCCATGGCCAAAAGAACAGCTTGCCTCAGCTTTCTTAAATTCAGAGGATTTTACCTTCAAGAGGAGGAGACCTACACTACATTATCTCAGAAAACACATCCAGGCATGTCTCCAATTTTACCTCAGAACTTGCAAACAACATCAATGAATTGGAAGAATAAACAAACTGGAGAGTAAAATAGATTAAATTGTGGACTCCCGTGACTCTCTTGTGGATAATATGAAGCACTCACTAAAGCAGTCAATTTCTTAGAACAGATATTAGCCGACCTTTATGATAAATCAAAGTGCAATAATATCAGAATCTAGGGAATACCAGACAATGTTCCGCCATGCTAGCTGAAGGCGTATCTTAAAGACTTTATCCAAGCTCTCTTACTGGATTTCAAAATGACGGAAATTGTTATAGACTGAATCCATCGGCTTGCTAGGGGTGCTTTATCGTGGCTAGTGCTATGAAAGACAACAATGCAAGGATCCCACTAATCAAAATCTTGCAGGTAGAGACAAAATGCCACAAAAGAAATATGTTAACATCCAGCTTTATCTAGATGTATCATCCTTTACAATGTAATGGAAACAATATCTTTGGGCAGTGACCATTGGATCACCTAAAGATGGAATTACTCCGACAAGTTTCTCATTGAGCACGAGTCCACCAAAATGATTACCTCTCCTGTGGATGGGAGGAAACACTTACAAGCATGGGACCTGCTTGCAAAACAGAAGGAAGACCTCTCCTTTGTCCAATTATACAATAACATGTTCTGAGCATAGTCTGTGACTGTTCAGTTTATTCATTCACCTTCCCACTGAAATCTGCTAACACTAAACAGTTTTTTGAGTCAACCTTGCAGACTTCGTTCAGGGAAAATAAAACTTCAAACATTAAAGGGACTCTCCAGTGCCAGGAAAACAGAACAGTTTTCCTGGCACTGCAGGACCCTCTCCCTCCCATGTCGCTGAATGGGTTAAAACCCCTTTAGTGACTTCCCTGATTCCAGCGCCGGTGTCCCACGGCGCTGGGTCAGGCTCTGCCCTGGTCCTCCCCCATTGACGTCAGCCACGCATCCATTAGACCTCCCCATAGAAAAACATTATTCCATTTTTGGCAATGCTGGAGGTCCTCATGCATAGTGTGAGGACGTCTAGTGTCGTTTAGATGACCAAAAGTTGTCTAAGAGGCCGGAAGTCCCTCTAGTGGCTGTCTGATAAACAGCCACTAGAGGAGGACTTAACCCTGCAAGGTAATTATTGCAGTTTATAAAAACTGCAATAATTACACTTGCAGGGTTAAGGGTGGTAGGAGTTGGCACCCAGATCACTCCAATAGGCAGAAGTGGTCTGGGTGCATGGAGTGTCCCTTTAATTTCATCTGAGATCTTCTGGTTAGCACACAAGGAGATAGTCAGGGACAATTCCATGGCATATGCAACACATATCCAGAAACAGAAAAGCCAGTCTTTAAATGGCTTGACAACTGAACTACAAACTTTAGCAGATTTGCATAGAGCCCAGCCGACAAAACCTTCTGGCGAATATTAAACAAATCAGGTAAGCAATTAAAGCTATAGACAGAGAGAAAGGAGTACAAAGGCGTACTGTCATGCCAAAAGCATGAGTTGGTGTTTGATGTGTGTTTATATATGTTAAGAGTTGTTTTTTTGTAAACCTTGGGATGACATTTATTGTGGTCTTTGATCTTGCACCAGGCCTAGACCATAAAACATCTAGATAGCCATCACCAGAGCTGGACACAAGGAATTTCATAGAGTGGGCAATAGACTGCCAGACCAACCCCCTCTGATCCCCCCCCCAGGGGTCTGCCCACTGAGAAACAACTAGTTTAGATATATGATGGCGTTGGACTATCCAGGGAGTTCAGTTATTCATTTTTCTTTTGTCAGCAACTTCTAGGAGACCTATACCATCTAAGAGTCCCACAAGAATTTTATATGGGGTAACTACATGTAAGGAATTTCTTGTGTTTTCTCCTATTTTATTTTATGTACTGTTTTGCAATTTGTTATCTGTATGTCATTTATTTCTGTATTTTGTACTCAGCACTGTGAATCCTTTTTGTCAGATTAAATGTTTACTTAATCAGCTTGTGTCGCTGTTCTCTATGAGCTTCACTCTCCAGAGGAAAGCTCAGGTAAACACGTTACCAAAAAGGGTTAACTATATATGTTTTATCAGTAAAAGTAGAACTGTAATACTATAATTCTCCTGTGTGTGGGGTAACCTAAGGGGGTTAGTGTAGAAGGGATTGCAGGGGTTAATTGAGTGGTTGCTGGGACTAGCAACAGGTAACCAGGGGTCTGGTGTCATTAACCCTGTCACTTCCACACTCTCCCCACTGTCTCGGCTGGGCCTATAGCCCACGCACGTGACAAGTACCCAAAGCAAAATACTACTCTGTCAACATACAACTTGCCTTATATCTAGCAAACAAACTAGGAAGCAGACGGTCTCAGTTACTGACCGGTTTTATTACAGCTGTAATGGCCTGGGTCTTGTCAATGGGATGTCTATCACCATGTTCCCCCCAGCTTTATGTCTTATCTTTAAAACCCTTAGCAAGCAAGATCTGTAAGGCTGATTGCATTGACGAGGTGGCCATCCGAGGCATATCCTTAAAAAGTTGCTAAGTTCACAGATGACATGAATAACAAATACTTTCTTTCAAACATTACTTGTAAGAAAATATAGACTATTTATTACATATAATATGCAAATCAGTTTACTGGAAATATTTTAATTAAAACAGTTTAAAAAATATTAGTTTTTTGCAAAGAACCTACCAGAAGGGTTAGGGGGTGTTTCTCTGATTGTGTGAAGAACTTTCATGTCTCTTATGTTGTGTATATAGAGGGATTCTTCCAGACATACTATGAGCCTCTGTGGATTTTAAAAGACAGAATATATTAAAACAAATAAACATACATCAAGAAAAAGGTATAATGTCTGGTCCTTTTCAAAACTGGTTTAAAGATGTACAGTCGTGAAAACAAAAAAAAGATACACAAAAGAGAAAAAATAGCACATGTTAGTTGTGCTATTTCTACGTTGCCAGGGTTTATCACTGTTGTAATTTTAAAATCGATTACCCTGTTATGTGCAGTTTAATTCTGTGAATGGTAAATCATGGTCATCTATCAAAATGGCAAGGAGAAACTCCCAACATTGCTTATACATATAAAGACCACAAAACGAAAACCAGTAAAAGCATTTCCTATGAGTGTTTGTACCTCTTTAATGAAATGAAAGATGGAGAGATGGGACAGAAACACATATGTTAGGGATTACGAACAGAGCTCAGGCTCTTTATAATATCCGAAGTGAGGGAGGTCATGCCTTTCAGACTGAACAAAGAACATATATGTTTTCAAAAAATTACACTCACATACTATTCAATTCACAAATTCCCAGAACTGTCACTGAACAATGAAGGCAGAAAGTAATCCTTTTTAGTGCAGTCAAGCTGACACAGTAAAAATATTTAAGCATCCAAACCTACTATGCTCAAAATGTACAACAAATTCATGCCATACAAATACCTGCACATAAAATGAGGAAGTGAAAATGTTGTTATAATGCTTCAAGTTGAATCTACTTAGAGTGCCTAGAAAGCATCTGGTTTTGTCTAATCTCTTGAAAACCATTTAATAAGAATAGCCTGCCTCAAGAAGTTGTACTGATGATGATGGTGCTTGGGGTGTCCATTTAGTAATGATGTATTTACTGCGTATATGGTAGCTTTGCTAACTAATACCTTGCTTTGGGAATACAGCCCTATTTATATATACCATTTCTGGCATAAATCACAACAGCAGCAGAAACATTAGTATTCCAAAATGCCCATCCATTTAATCAGTTCAAAGATGCATGACCTATACTTATATTAACTGCCAAATCTTTAATTATACTATGTGAGTAGACACAAATAAACACATAACCAAGCTGGTCATAAACTCTCGCATAACAGGACTCCCTTACTTTAGTGAGCAAAGAGGATAGATTCTTAGACTGCTTTCTGATAGTCCTGGTATGAGGTTTATCTCTGATTTACATTAGCATAGATTGCAATATAATTGACATGACGCACGTTATCATTTGACATACTGTGTATAGTTAGAATATATTGGCTTTTGTATAACTAGAATGTATGAATGAGACGTGATAAACTACTTACTACATGACCTCAAACAAGCATGCTTTTCAAGATATTCCAGATTGAACGTGTTATCATAGGTGAGTCAGGCAGAATAATTAAATATGTAAATCAGCAGAAATATGAACCTGCAGGAATACTTTATGTTCTATAATAGTTCTTCATCCAAACATGTCCTATAGACTTCAGAATCCATAGTTCTTACCCCCTCTGTTCATGGCAAAATGGGAGAACAGTTTGACAACTATTTTTTGGATGAAGAATGAACAAGATACTAGAAAGCATATATAAATGCCTCTCCAGCACTCAGGATATATCCTATAAAGGTACTAGCACAAAGGTTTCACACAGTGCAATCTCTCTAAAGGAAAATAAATATAAATACATACATAATCCTCTATGTGCTACATGCAGCGAAGGCAGTTATTTCTCTACTTTGCAAAAATAAAAAAATGATATCAAATAATGCATCTTACTTCATTGGCACTCTAGATTATCAAGGGCTAAAGAGACTGGGCAAATGGAAAACCTGGGGGAAGGGGATTATAAAATTGGTAATGCACATACCCAAAGATTATATTAATGGTTGGAGCAGTTAGAAGCCGAACTGGAGTTCCATGATCAAGAACAACCTGATAGAACACTAGGCGTATCTGTAAGTAAGAAAAATCCATTCTGACCTTCAGCCATATACATGCACCTTGGGTTGGACGGTTTAAAAACTGACATCTAGTCTCTGCGGTCTTCCCTGCACAAGTATGACCCAAGGTGCACCTATATAGCTGAAGGATCCGGTCTTATCCAACATGCTGATCTGGTGTCACTACTTCCCTCTCCGTGGTCATAAAGAAGTAATTAAATGGACCACTCATCCTTCCACTCTGAGCCAGGGAGGGAGGGAGTAGGGTGGTGGACAAAGGAGGGATAGAATTAAACAAAACCCTAGTTAAAAATAAGTTTAAAGAAATCAAATGAGAGAGAGAGGGGAGTTTCAAGCCTTCCCTTTTAAGCATAGATGACAGATAATTTAAACTTTAGGCTTCCAGGACATGTGACTGCTCATCCACAAAGTTTGTTCAAAGAAAATTGCAAAAACATTTTTGTTTGTTACTTAGGAATGTGAAGCCTGAGACCTGAGTTTATGTGATTGATACACTTTAATTTTCTAGACTTAATTGCTCTGTTTACAGGCCTATTCACTTAAATGTGAATTGTGGTGAATAAGCCAGGGAATTCAGAAAAACTGTGACCATTACCATAAGCCTAAGATGGACAATTCAATTAGGTCTCTGGATGATTCCTATGTTTAAAGGACCACTATAGGAACCCAGACCACTTCAGCTTAATAAGGTGGTCTGGGTGCCTGGTCCATCTAGGGTTAACCCTTTTTTCTATAAACATAGCAGTTTCAGAGAAACTGCTATGTTTATGTTAGGGTTAAACCAGCCTCTAGTGGCTGTCTCATTGACAGCTGCTAGAGGGCTTCCGCGTTTCTCACTGTGATTTTCACAGTGAGAAGACGCTTGCGTCCATAGGAAAGCATTGTGAATGCTTTCCTATGGACTGGCTGAATGCGCGCGCGGCTCCTGCCGCGCATGCCCATTCAGCCGAAGAGGAGGAGAAATCCCCGTCCAGCCCTGGAGAAAGAGGTAAGTTTAACCCCTTCCTCTCCATCCAGCACAGCAGGAGGGGGACCCTGAGGGTGGGGGCACCCTCAGGGCACTATAGTGGTCCTTTAAGTCACTCTGTGTCCATTGTAGTTGCAGGGTGCGCGTGTGTATAGTGTGGTTGTTTGGGGTTAAATGTTAGTGTGCTCTCCTGTCTTGCTAATGTTTGCAATCAACTAGGTGGATTTGGCTGTGGAGCCTGTAGAGCGCCACCTGTTTGTTGCAAGGATCTAGCAACAGTTATATCCACTACCTGAATAGCAAGGTTTGCCAATTTGCATATTCAGGTAGATTTGCATATTGCGAATTCTGCAGGTGGGAGAGATATTTTGTGTTCGTTATTGTCTTTTCCACCCCTTTATAAATATGTTATAAGTTACTGTATGTTTTCTGATATGATTTGGTTCATTGTATTGACCCACCAAGGTTGATGTAACAAAAATATGGGCTAGTCCCAAGTAAAATGAGGTATTGTAGGTTAGTTCCTTTGGAACTTGTGTCCTGTGTAGATTTTTAGGGATCCCAGTAACAGAGTCTTCAGACCAGTTGGCTGGCTGCACAATCCCTCTAGCCCTGTGATTAATCAAGAGAGCTAGGCCTGAGTGCTGCAAGTGCCTTTGTAAAGGCAATAGAAATCACATTGCAGCCAAAGGTGGATACCTGCCTGGTAGAAGGGCTGCAGTGGAACAGCCAGAAGGGACAATACCTGCCTGGAAGGAGAGCTGCAGCCTAATTGATTGTAAAAGCTCCACAGTGACCCCAATCAAGCCTCGGTGACTAGGTTTGAAGCATTCAAGGATCCCTGCAAGCGGCTAGGAAGCACACTGGACGGAGGTACTCTGTTGGAGTACAGGAGCTCCGTCACAGCAGCCTGTAAAGTAAGGTTTTATCCTAAAATACTGTAGTGTTTTTTTTTTTTCTTTCAATACAAACAAACCTATATGGTCAGATATGAGGAGGCACTTTCTGTTTCACTATATGCTTCCTACAATTCAAGGTAGCACTGTACATACGAACAGCAGAATCTTGTGGTTCAAATATATAGATTTACTACAGGTTTCTACTGTACACTGTGCAAGATGTGCCTATGAACAGACTCAGCACAGACTCTATGCTGACAAGTTGACTGACAAGGGAGAGCAGAAAACAACTTCTACATCTTCTGCTTTTCCAAGCAAAGAAACCACAGTGAATGTGCTGTGGTTGCTATGGAAACGGAGGTAGAAGCTGCTAGTGCTGGCTAGTGAGTATAGAAACAGAGTTACTGACATCACTTCATTCAGATACAGGCAGGCTAGCACTTAAGCCAGTGTGTCGGCTTCACACAGGAAGTTTGCTCTACTTAGGTAACTGTACTGGAGGAGTAGAGGGGAACGGACCAGAGGTGGGTGTTACACAAAGAGTAACCACCCTTGAATCCTAGAGGATGAGGGTGCTGGAACAGAGATGAGGGGAGTATATTTTTATACTGAATAAATCACGTATTTCTGTGTATATTTTTTCATTACAGGTTCACTTTCACAAATACATACAAAATATAAACCAATTCACTGGCAACATTTAACATGAAAACAAATATATTTATATATTCATGTTTAAACACGCAAAATCTTCAACATGTCTGTTCTTTCAAGGATATATTTGTTGGACTTGTGAACATAAAATGAAAAACATACATCAACTACTAAAAAGCAGTTTGACAACTGAAAAAAAAGATGATTATAGGAATTGTACAGAGAGTAATGCGCAATATGGAGATTCATTGTAGTTTTACTTAAATATGCAAGTAAATTGAAGAAACCACTGAATTCCACTGACAAGCAGAAGTGGTTTATGATTAATGAACTCTCCATGAGCTACCTTAGCTTAAAACACATGCTGCCTGCTGTATTATATTATATGAACACCAGATCTGTATGAGTTTATTAGGAATAACCAGCTCTCCAATAGTGGGTTGTGCTAGAGATGTGCATTGCTTGTGATCCCCTGCTCATTAAATGAAGTGTTGGACTGGCCAACAGGGATACAGAAAAATTTCCCAGTGGGCTGCAGCATATGAGGCCAGGTAGTGCAGCTAGATGACCTAAAACATTCTCTACTGATTTATTATTCCACTCAGACTTTGTGCTGGAGGCCGGTGGAGCTGACTTGGTGGCATTGATTTTTCTGGCGACTGGTACACCAGCAAAGTAAGCAGCTGGCTTGCAGTAGGGATGAGTGAGAAGTCACTGTAAGTTTCTCTCACCAAATGCCCCCTCACAGTTTCCAGTACATGGTTGCCACATAAAAGGTGCTCTTGCAGGAGCCAACCATCGCACTTGAGTTGCGGCACTAGCGTCAATCACCTAACCTTGCGGACAGTAAGAGGAAATGGCAACCTCACATTGCCCTCAGAGTCCCCAATGACATGTGCTAGTAAGCTTCTAATGCCCAGCAACCCAAATACGGAAAGTGATCTTGTATGTGCGCTAGTGAATTTGTCTGAAATCAGCTTGTGTGTGTATGTCAATGTGTCTTTAGTAAGTGTGTGGGTGTGCACCAGTGAACCTGTGTGTATCAGTGATCGGATCTTGTGTTTGTGCAAATTAGGTTGTCTTTCAGTGAGCTTGTCTGTGCGTGCATTGTCATATTCTTACTGTATAAATTAACTTTGTGTGTCTGTGTATATATTATATAAACCCAAATGATAAAATATAAGTTATTTTTACTTGTTTGCCATTTATATTTACTACAATGTGGAGTTCAGTGAATAAACCCTGCCGTGACAACAGAAATACGCCCTAACATTCATTGTGCTGTGGGTGAGTTATTTCTGTAGAACATGCTTTTAATTGTATATATTTGCTGCAATGATATCTTTGCATAATCTGTGAATTTTGCGAGTTCAACATATTTTGGAACAGTTGTGTATGAATTGCCTTTTCCAATGGGTTATGGATGGTGTGGTCTTTTATAAAAGCAAAGGTGTCTAACTTGAAACAGCAGTTTGTTAATTGCACATAGCTTAAATCTTAGCACCATGCCTAGATTTCACAAAGATGTCAAACCTAACTAGGTCCAGTCCATTACACACTATATGGTCAGGAATACATGTTTGTGTTTCTTTATAGTGTTAAAAACACGATCTAGCCCGTCTGGCCCTCCCTTGTCTCCCTACATATACTTTTATTTCGGTCTGCTGCTGGCTCTGCTTCGATCTGCCTCCTTGGCTGACATCAGAAGTGATGTTCTGAGCCAATCCCAATGCTTTCCCATAAGAAACCATTGAATTGGCTGATACTGAGGTGACAAGCCCCATACCACATGCACATAAAATGAGAATAAAAGGTAGCAATATACTTATACTCCCAGTAGTTGGCACTCACAGAGCCAGGGCAGTATGATACATAGAAAAGAAAAAATGAGAAATGATAATATTGTAGATCTGTATGAATAATTTGTTGCACTTATATAAATTGTACTATAAACACATTCAATATGCTCATTATTAGCATTGATGGTAAAAAGTAATTTATTCTCAAACAATAAATAAAAAAAGTCACTCAAACATAATAAAATAATAAAAATAGCAAAGATAAAAGCAACCAGATTGCTGCTTACAGGAATAAATGGTGAGTATACCGGTATGCATACCCATTTACTCACAAACACGCTTTTCCACACTACGGGTCTCTGGCAAGGTGCATTGCGGTGGAGTCCCAAAATCCAGCTATCTGGCCGCCGTTCGTACTTCCCGACTGTGTTTGGCTCCGCCCACCTTGGTGCGTGATGCTTTCACGTCTACGCGTTTCGCGGTACACAGACTGCTTTGTCAGGATGTTGGAAGCCCTTGCTTCTGATGGCTTATGTAGGAGCAAATGTAAATTTTTCATTGGTTCGGTCCCCAAACCAAAATTTGCATATTGTATATCGCTGTAAATGGCAGTCATTTTAATCTAGCAAGTGGTTCCGTAAACCGTGAGCGATATACAATATGCAAATTTAGGTTTGGGGACTGAACCAATGAAAAATGGACATTTGCTCCTACATAAGCCCTCAGAAGCAAGGTCTGTATCAACTTCCAACGTCCTGACAAAGCAGTCTGTATACAGCGAAACGCATAGATGTGATGTCATCACGCACCAAGGTGGGCGGAGCCAAAACAGCCGGGAAGTATGAACGGCAGCCAGATAGCTGGAGTTTGGGACTCCACCACAACGCACAATCCCCCAGAAAGGTTGCTTTTATCTTTGCTATTTTTAGAATTTTATTCTGTTTGAGTGACCTTTTTAATTTATTGTTTGAGAATAAATTGTTACTTTTTACCATCAATGCTAATAATGAGCATATTGAATGTGTTTATAGTACAATTTATATAAGTGCAACAAATTATTCATACAGATCTGCAATATTATCATTTCTCATTTTCTCTTTTCTATGTATCTGCCCTGGCTCTGTGAGTGCCAACTACTGGGAGTATAAGTATTTGGCTACCTTTATTCTCATTTTATATGCATGTGGTATGGGGCTTGTCACCTAAATATCGCTCCACTTCTTGATTTGTTTTTTTAAGTTGTATTTGAGATGTGGTGAAGGGTATACATCGAAATGTTGCAGCGAAAGCAGTAACATTTTCCCAAACTGGGTGTTTTAATTCTAAGAGACAAATTACAAGTCCCCTGGGGATTTGAAAATACTCTACTTTATCATTTAGCGCTCCGATATATTTTAAACTTTTTTGAATTGACTGATACTGTCAAGGAGGCAGATCTGAGACAGAGCCAGCACAAGCCATGGCCAATCAGCATCTCCTCATAGAGATGCATTGAATCAATGCATCTCTATGACGAAAGTTCAGTGTTCAGGAAGCACATCTAGCAGTCATATGAGGAGTGGCCAGTGAAGATATTCATACTGTAATGTAAACACTGCATTTTCTCTGCAAAGACCACGTTTACTGCAAAAAGCATGCAGGGACTGACTATACTCACCAGAACAAATACAATAAGCTGTAGTTGTTCTAGTGACTATAGTGTCCCTTTAATAAAAAAATAATTACTTTTCTAAGCCTACTAACCTAAATTGTGTGTATACTAAATCAGAACCCCCCCCCCCACCCCCCAATAAAAAAAACCTTATGAGTTAAGCTTATACACTTTCCCATGCAAGGCTTAATTTATACTCTTGTGTTAGCGCCCCAATCAGGTAGGTTAACAGTGCGATGTATCACTTGACAATTTTTCTTTTAACCAACAAGCAAACACTTCTAAACGAAAATAAAGATCCACTCCTTGAAGAGCCGCCTGACCGGCGAAAATGTGCGTCAGGGCTCTGAACTGTACTCAAGTTGTAGTGATACACTGATGCGGATGTTCTGATTCCTGCACAATTTAATAGTAACACAGCAAGAGCATCTCCAACGACAAGCTGCTGTCAGTTCGTCTGATGGCATTAGCTAGCAAGCTAGATTAGTTTTTATCCACGACAGTACATGTGCCCTCAAAGGCACAGACTAGCTACATGGTTACCTGGTGATTTTTCTACCTGATCTGTGTAAAACCAGCTATCTAGTATTTTAGTAAAGCTGCATCCTTTAAATAGATGTTTTCTTTTTAGTTACTTATTTTTGACAATTTAGCAAATATGTAATCTTTCGTTTAGTTGTGACATACAATTCTAGATAGGTTGTTTGTTATATTGCAAGATTTGACCCTCAAGGGATATTGGAGACAAGTATTGTCACTTTAGGCATTGCTTTGAAACTTTTTTACATACACTGCTTTTCGCAGGATGCTTTTATGGAGATCGTTCAGATAGCAAAGTGCTACATTGTATCTAACTTCTGTTAACACTTCGGATAGCACTCTGATACACTATATAGCATTCCTGTATACTACTTATAGTGTGTTTTGCTAACAATTAAGGTTACCCCCTATTACGGTCTTGTGATTTTTTTCAAGTACATTAGGCTCCCAGCTTTATGTATTAAAAATAAAGTTAAAGCAAGGAAAACTTTGAAAAGTATGCAACAAACATTTATAAACTTACTATATGCGTAGTCAGATTGCATTGCTGGGCAGACCTCTTAGCTAAGGATGTTTATTCAGTACCCCCACCCCCGAATCCTCAATTTCAGACCAGTCCACTTATTGCAAAAACAACAAGCTCCTTATTCTTCCTGCAGGGACTAACACAGCATTGAGAGAGAAACCCAACACCGGAGCCTGCTCTGCAGGAATCAGACTCCCCCTGCCAGGATGTTGCAAGGTGAAAAGATCTTCCAGTTGCTCATGTGTAAGTCTGTCAGGCATGCCAAATGCAGTTTTCCAGCATACCTAGGGATAGGACACTGATTGGTTAAATCAGGGATCCCTCCTGGAGTAATTGTGAAAAGCATAAGAAGGATGAGCATTTTAATATGAAGGTAACAAAATATAAATATATTTTTTTTAAAAGCTTTTCAACAAGAACGTTGTCTCAAAGTTATACATTTCCCTTTAAAGTACATACGATGAGCTAAAAGAGGTCTGTTCCAGTGTCTGCCCTTCAGATTCTACCGATGGCTCACCTGACGGTTCAATTTCACTGCCAAAATTGTGTTGGAGTAGCTGTAGTTGCAGATCTCTGTCCCCTTCTTAAAATGACAAACTTTCAGCTTGCGAGGGGCTTTGAGGCTGACAATAGCAACTAAACTGCTGGAGAAGAGCCGTTCCACAATACAGATATCTTCAGTGTCAGCTTGGTTAGGAGACAGAACAAAAGAAAATATTTAAAAATCAACATTTATTATAATATAAAAAGATAACAGAGGTCAATTAATTTGAAATGTGGCTTTCTAGTCAGCCAAAACACTCTTTAAATATTTTACTAATATATTTAATGCAGTTATGATTATTTTTGCTTAGAGATCTACCAGTATTTTTTTTCTGTTTATTATAATTATGTATACATAGTCCCATTTGGGATGTAAAATGTGTTAAATTAACAAATCAATATGGCTGTCTAAAAAAAAAACATTTTTATGATGAAAAAAAAGAAAAACGCACAATCAGACAAATAACACAAATAAAGAATTGGCTTATAATGGCTTGGTAACAATTTCTGGGAAGTGTTGCCATTGACTTTACAAAGGACTGAGTTGGGTGAATGCACAGAACATAAACTGGGGCTAACCAAGACAGACATTGTGCTAAAGTAACATGGGAACCAGGGGTGTAGCACAGAGGGAACAAACCAAAGATTACACAATATTAAAAAATAAATAAATGTAAAGAGTATGGGATGGTCATTGAGGATGGGCTGAGAGACAACATTTTACTTACAGTAAGTTTATTTTTCCTTTAGAGTAGGGCACAAAAACGGATGTTGCCATTTCTTGTGGCAAAATAGGCAGGCAGAATTGTATGAAATAACTTTTAAAAGGTTAAGACCCCAACCCCATCTTCCTTCTTACTATAAAAGTCACCATACATCCACAATCCCCCAGAAAGTCACTAGCCAAACTCATGCAAAAATAAGTACTTTGTTAAATATGGGGGAGAATTATAGGTGCACTGCCTCAAATCTTAAGGAAAATGAAAGGTATGGTAAAAATGCTGTCTTTTCCCTCCAGAAGCAGTGCAACGATAAGGATGAACAAGCGATCCTAAAAGGTAAGATAACTTCACTTCACTACAGCTTGAAGCACTTGCGCCCAAAACCAGTATCCTGGAAAGAAAAACTTCCCAGCTCTCCCAGGGAGTTATCACAACATTGATTTATAAGGTCAATTTCTATTTTCTTGGAGTTAGAAGCAATTTTGGGTTACTGGAGTCGTTTAACAGTCAACATATATTTCGGATTCATATATTATGTCATTATTTATATAGCGCCAGCAAATTCTGTAGCACTGTACAATGGGACATTCCATTGTACAGTGTTAAATAAAATGTTGTTTTAATTACCATTTCCTTTTATATGGTAGGTTGTTTTATTATATGATTAAAGGAACACTTTAGTGTTAAGAAAACAAAGATGTATTCCTAACACTAAAGTTTCCTTCTGCCCGCGCGGCCCCATCCGTACATGAAAAGCCCTTTCAGTCACTTATCTAATTAAAATGCCAATATCCCTCAGCGCTGGGTCGCACTCCTCCACTGCCAATATCAGACGATGGGGATACCTAATGTGCATGCGGGTCAAGTGCCACATGCCCATTAAGCCTTCCCCATAGGAAAGCATTGACTTTAGCATAGAAGGTAAATTGTAATACTTTAAATGTAATATTTATAGCACTAGTGCCCAAAATGTTTCGAATACCCTAAAATGATATTACATAATTTAATGCAGAAAGTAATACAACATGCCTTATTAAATAAATGAATTTTTAAGAGAAGCTATATACATAATATAGCAACAAAAATTATAGTAAAGCATAATTCATAACCATTTCTGTTAGTACGGAGTTGGCAACCCTTTTCCCACAATCATATCCTTACATCAACATTCCATGGAGTGAACAAATTTATTAATCGGGTGTTATAATGTGAAACCAAGATTGCATGATAGTTTCTATCACTTGTATTTAATTCCTTGGTTGCTACTAACAAGTTGATGTAATTAGCTCAACAGATTTTCCGTTGGATTTAGGTCAGGGCTAATATCTGGCCATTCTAACATGTAAACAGATTTTTCTGAAACCACTTTTTTTTTTTAAAAACAGCAGCATCAAGACAAGGAACTGAATCTTGATGAAATATGACTTTATTATGGTGGAAATGATCACATGCCAGAGGCTTCAGTTTTGGCTCAAGCATATCATTGATATATTTTTGGCAATTTAGAGAACACAAAAATCCCAGGAAATCTATGCACTCCTTTCCTGTCATTAAACCCCAGATCATGACGCCAACTGTAGTTGGTAGCTATAATGCATTCAGACAGCAAATATTTTCTTACAAACTTTATTCCATCACTATCAATCATATTCTGGTCTCATCACTCCAGATCATTCTGTCTCATTGTTCCTCAGACCAGTTAAAAAGGTTTTCAGCCCATTGTAATCTCTTCCTTCTTTGTTTGGTAGAGATAGAATGGTTTTTCCCCTTGGAATTTTAGTCTGTATTTAACAGTCCTCGCATTCCCCTTAAAACCTCATTGAAGAAGAAAAAAAAAAAAAGAATTTTTTGTAAAAAGCATTTTTACTCAGATAATTTTCTTCTGTCTCTTAAACAGTTATTTTTTTTACATTTTTTATTTTTGTAGTGCAGGGAATTACACACTGTTGTATAAATGACATGTCGTATGGAAACAGCACAATTAGTCTTAAAGAGGTTTACATAATCTGCACTTTTTGTATTAATATGTATACATGCCTAGAGGGCCTGCCCGAACGTAAGACAGGTTTATAAGATTCAAGAGACAGAGGAAAAGAAAACCTCAGGCAGGCTCATAGATTACCATTAGGCATTAGGTTAGTTATGATAAAGTTACATAAGAATATTTTGCCCCAGAGACCCCATCGGCTATGTGATAAGCAGAGTAACCCTGCGCCTTGGGTTAGTCAAGAATTAATTAGGAAGGCAAGTATTAATAAGAGAAATCAAATGTCGATAGGAGAGGGCCCAAAGTTAAGGTTAAAACTCTAAGTGATATTAGATGATACAGCATGGTGGTAGCAGATATCTCTGCCATCTCAGGAGCTTGCATCAGGTGTCCCCTTCCAGCTGTAAGCTGCATTGACTATGGATTCTTGCTGCAGTATGGAGCGTTCGTGTAAGTCGTTACCCCCTTGTGGTCAGGTTGTCTTCAGGCGCCGTGGCCCGGTTGCAGAGGCGTAGCAGGCTGGGATTCCTCCTTGAAGTGTCGTCCAGTGCTGGACTGGCCCGAAGGCAAGTTATTTAGGGGGGAGTGGTGTGGGCTGCTTCTAAGCCGCGTTCGCCGGTCTGCCGATGTTGCCATCTTTGCTGTCTGTAGGTCCAGATTCATGACGGTTCTGGTCGGACGAGTACTGGGGCAGCAGTGCACAGAGCCCCAGCTGATTTGGCTTCCCCAACCTTGTCTTCAACCTCTGCCAGGGTTCTTGGGGAAGTTTAGCCAGCCAGGAGGGAGAGTTAGTTTGCCCCAGGGTATGGGCTTTTGGAGTCGGGTTTGCCGCCAATTTATGTGTGACTCTGGGTCTCTTCAACAGTGTGGTGAAGTTTCGTTGCTGCAGGGTCGCTGTTGCTGCAGGGGCTTCAGGGCATGGACCGGGATAACCCTCACCGGCCCAAGGGGAGGTGAGACGGGACCAGATCCACAAGCTTGTGGGAGTCTGGCGTGACACTGTCGGACGGGATAGCAGGGCAGCGGCTGTCTACCCCGCTCACCGCCTGAGTAGGTCTCATCCTGTGCGGACGACATGTGTCTGTCTGAGGGACTAAAACAAGGACTGAAAGCCTCTCGTCAGATCCAGTGCCCCCCTCACGTACCGGACCACGGCCTCTGGTCTTCAGGAAGGTACCAGGTCAGCTTTTAATAGCTTAAAGTCCACCTGATTGCAGGAGCTGTTTCATGCGACTGTTCGGCATGGCAGTCAGGCCCCGCACCCGTTTTTATTTTTTTTTAAACTTTTTCTATTACTACATGCTGCTATACATCTTTTCCTGCCTTTACCAGTTTGGTTTTGAATAGACCGAGTCTGTAGATACCTCATGCACAGTTAAAGCTGTATTCCTGGCACTATTGATCTCTCTGCCTCCCTCCTCCGTCGCGCCCCCTTCTACGTGGTAAACAAAGGGTTAAAAATCCTTTACTTACCTGATCCCAGTGCAGAAGTCCCTCGGTGCTGGGTCGAAGCTCCGTCACCTCCTCTGTCCTGCGACAAGCGGGGTCTAATGCGCATGCTCAGCAAATGCCACTGAATCAATGCTTTCCCATGGGGAAAATCTGACGCTGGAGGTCCTCATGCAGAGGGTTAGGACGTCTAGCGTAAGATAACAGACCAAAAGTCTGTTACGATTCCGGAAGCGCCCCCAGTGGCTGTCTGATGGACAGTCACTGAGGGCAGACTTAGTGCTGATATGTAAACACTGCAGTTTTCTGGAACTGCAATGTTTAATAGTGCAGCACTAGGTACAAAAAGGACAGCACCCAGACCACTTTAATGAAATGAAATGGTCTGGGTGCCTACAGTGTCCCTTTAAAAAATACCTCCTTTGGTTACATTTCCCTATAAGTGTAGTCTTCTTCACACAAAGTTATTTTACATTGATTTGAAAGTGACCAATTAGTTTCAGTTTTCTGTCATCTTACTTCGTTACATAACTTAAAGCTCATCAATGGAAAAATCAGTGATCAACAAATCAGTAACCAAAAAAAAAAACAGTGGCCAACTTGATGACACATACAAAAAAAATAAATAGGAGTCTTATTATTAGTTGATACATGGAAATGGGAGATGACTCATACTATAACACGGTTATAGGTTCCATGCTGTGTCATAACACTTAGTTCTCAAAACAATCACTCATTGGTCAGTTTTGAGTTAAAGATACATGCATCACTTTGAAACAACTGTCTCATTCAAAAGCTTTAGCAGTTTTTCTTAAAAACTGCAATGTTCTAGACTGCATGATTACAAAGTCAGGTACACTGCACCCAGACTAGGGACTGGTCATTGTATATAACAGAAAAGATACCATCCATTGAGTATGGAACATATGTGTATTCGCTTACAGCGGAGGAAAGTAACCACAATAAGGATGTGTGGGTTTTTTCTACCTAAAGAGGTTTTCTTATCAGATTCTGTAGATATTTGTTAAAAGGTTTGGGATGATTTTTTGCAAAAACAAAATATTCAAGGATATAATTGATATGTATGTAAACAGGTTGCTGATCTAGGGAGAAATCTGTTTGGCATATGGATTCAAGAAGGAATTGTTTTCATGTTTTGTGGCATAATTGAAAATGGCTACAATCTTTTGGAACAACGGCATAAAATAATGGGTTGAACTTGATGGACTTTAGTCTCTTGACAACCTAAACTACTATGTAACTTAATTGGTCTTTTAAGTGTTTCCTTGGACATTGTGTATGCTGGAACCAGATTACATAGAGAAGTTAAATTTAAAGAAGTCACAATGACTGCAGATTTTCCCTGCACAGTTGTGATTTGTTTGCAGATGTAAGTTTATAAAAACATCTTCAAGATGAGTAACATCTTTTGCATTACTTTTATCCAAATGTGTTTGTGAATGCATCTTATTTACATGCCTATCACACATAGTGATAGCATAGATAATCATAATTACAGACAAAAGGAAGGAAAATCAATTTCCATGGACTGACTGGTTGAATATACCTACTTGAGCAGTTTTAACTCGAGATCTGCTAGAGCAGAGAATTCCCCAATGTTTGGTAATTTTTTTTAAAAATTCTTTATTTTTGTGGTGCAAATATTTAATGTGGGCGATTAGGTAGGTTCAACCCCTGTTTAGCCCTCAATCTGTGAGGGATGGGGGGGGGTTGCTTGACGAGAGGGACCTGAGCATGGCGGGTAGCTTCGCTAGACGGGGGCCCATGTGTGTTTTGGCCGCCCATAGGCAGACGAGCAGAAGCTGCTGATCGTTCCTCCATTCGTGCTCGGAAGATGGCAAATATTGCTTCCATTGCCAGCAGGGAGCGGCTAGTGGAGTCAAGTGGTACTTTGGATGCCTGGGTCGCTGTAAAAGGCCCGTCCGCCATCTTGAGGAGTTCTGTAGCTTGCGAGTCTTCCCCTTGTGTGCTAGGAACTGCATGAGGCAACCCAATAGGGACCGGGATAACCGCTGCCAGTCCAAAGGGGGGGGAAGGGGGATTGCACAATTCTGTTTCTTAGAAGCCAGCTGGGGAGCAGGTAGAGCGGCCGCCTTTTCCAAGCTCCCTTGTATGTAGATCTCATGGCATCAATTTGGGCAGTCAGTTGCAGAAACATTTGAGTGAGGTGTCCCCTGGATCACCAAAGCCCCCTCTGCAAGAGTAACTCTAGGCTGTGCTTGTAAAGTCGTTCGGGTCGGGAATATCCCTGGGTCATCGGTAGCAAACGCAGGAGCTCTCGTGGCACACGTCTGCTCAGTTTGGCAGTCAGGCTCCGCCCCCGATTCCCCAATGTTTTGATGAGGCAATTATTATAAGTTAGGACCCAGATGACCGCTGTAAGTACATGTTTTTACTGCAACAGTGTTCCCTTACTATGTGTAGTGCCGACCCCTCTGTCACTGGGAAGGGTCTAACAAAAGTGTTTTACATAAATAATTATAGATTAAAATTCAATATATAAAATATATATTGAATTAAAAATATATTACAATCTGAGTTATGCTAAGCAGTGCAGGGATCAGAAGAGCCAATAAAAACTCCTAAACTAGAGATTTCGGCTCTCAGGTTGAGGTAGTGTAACTGGCGACATACCGGCTAAGAAATCTAACAGTTCTAAAATGATTTTACCACTTTCAAGTAGGGGGAATCCGGGCACTCATGGCACAATAATAATTACATGGTTATGGTGTTTGGAATATTCCTTTAAAAAAAAAAAAAATTAAACTAGGTTCTAGAAAAAGAGGAATGCATTATCAGAAAAGGACTAAAATACTAAAGCATGTCTGACTACATTATCACTAGTTCTGTATGATTTCTCTTTAGCAGAAAAATAATTGAACATAAATTGTTCTGGAAATAAATTCTGTGATTAAGTTTTATCCAAATATCAGGCAGGCTAGCTAGGGACCAATTCATCACATTAACAAGAACTCTACATCCAAATAATGTGGGCCAAAGACAAATACTTTCAAAAAGACTATGAGGTAATTAGATTTCTCTGCCAAAATACAATTCTAAAAGCATCAGGAAACCAGGCGATGGAACTCCAACTACCTCAATTTTACTCCAACTAGGGGGTAGACAGATTCCTTCCCATGATGGCAACACATGTTAGTACCAAAAGACAATATATAAAATATATATATATATATATATATATATATAAATTTTAGAAAGAAAGAAAAAAAAAATACTTTGCACACACTTATGAAATTTTTTGGAGGGCCATGTTGTTGGTCTGAGGGAGACAATAGACATTTTTCAATGGTTACAACTGGAATAAAAAGAAGGGAAGATACAGCACTAACTCCAAAGGCAGCAGAAAAAGGTCTGTTACTTGGATACCCTAACCCAAGAGGAACATGGAAAAAAAATACAGAAAAAAAAACAGACTCTGCCAAATAAGAAATACTAGATGATCTTAAACAGATAAGCAGGATAACAGACTGATCTCCAACAAAGCACTACCTACAAAAGGTTCTTATCTCCAAAAAATACTTTTTCTGCAGGGACTCTTTAATATGGTTATATCTCAATATTTTGTATACATATATCTGTATAAGGTTATCTAGTATTTCTTATTAGTTCTGTTTTATTTTATCTTTTTTCTGTATTTTATCTGTCAATGGTTGCCTGGTGTCAAGTGTCTAAACAGGCAAACAGGTAATTTAAATGATAACTGCCTCCCCTCTTACATCCGAGGGGAGTTGGTGGTCTCAAAAGTTGGTAGTTTGAGTCCCCTTCTCTAAACGCTTTAGTTGTGATTGGTACTACAAAAACAAAATAAGTACACCTTTACATGAGGTGAATCGTAACGGACTTTTGGTCTGTTATCTTACGCTAGACGTCCTAACCCTAAATTAAATGCACATATTTATGTTGGCCAATGATGTGCAAGGCTTACTAAGGAAAATTGTCTCCATAATATCGAATTAATAATCTTATGCAGTAGAAGATGATTCATATTATTCAATAGGGGGCACACCAAACTATTTCTTTTACCAGCATACAAATTGAAGGCAATTTCACACTTTAAGTTAGTTCGCAAATAGAATGGATTTCCACCTATTGCTACAACTACTCTTGCCCTATTAAAGTTCCTTGCTAGTAGGACTAAGTGAGCAACACTGATGTGTCAGGAAAACACCAGGCATGTGCAATTATGACCAACAGTAGCACTGTTAGTATGTTTTCACATGAGATTAATAGGAGCCATTCCCAGTTGAAAATGTAAGTTTATTTTGCCTTATTAGGATCTACTTATGCTAATACCCTTTCACAATATAAATATATTATACCCAATTGTCCAAATCCATTCCTTAACCCCTTAAGGACACATGATGGAAATATTCCGTCATAATTCCTATTTATTTTAGAAGTTGTGTCCTTAAGGGGTTAAAGTTAAAGGTACAATTAGAAGAAAAAAAAAATGTCTGTGTGTCCACCCTTCACCACCAATGAATTAGAAGACAAAACATCTCTGGAGAGGATTACGAAATGTAGTTCCATGTAAAATCCTATTGCAAGTTGTAAGTTATTCACAATGGAATCTCATGCTACAAGCAAATCTAACATTAAACGATAACCTGTAATCACTACAGCTTAGTGCTGTGGATATGGTCCAAAGACTATGTTTGAAGGCAGCTTGAGAAAAAAAAAAAATATATATATATATTTTCTGAGGAAGTGTTTCACCTTCCTCATTATTAAGTGCCCAAAATATTTGTATGAGTAAGCAGAATTCAGCCACGGAATGGTTAACTCTTTCAGCAGCAAACTAATACAGGTAAGCACTACAATAAGCTACAGTATTTTTGAGACTTTGGGTGTCCTTTTAAATGATTGTTCTATCAATAATTTACTTTACAGTTATGATTATTCACAAGAACTTACTGCATTCGTATATCTGTTCAAGTTTGTCCACAGATGAAAGCGTGAAAAACTTGAATCCAGATTTGCTCCCAACAGCAAGTGACCTGTAAACAAAACACAACAGACAGTATTCAGAACTTTATGTCATGTTCATGTTTCTCCCCCAAGTTCATATCTAGGCACAGACACATCCCTTAACATTATAACTAAGCACATTGCTTCAACCTGGGGAACAGCTACAAAGTGCTAACGAGGTTTAACCATGCACACAACAGAACATAAAATCCTGACTGTTGAAATCCAAATGCTTGGAAGGGTGTCAGCATCATAAGTCGCCAGGCAAAAATACTTGTGTATTGATAAAAGCTTATGTGCGCAAAACACACAAAGGCTTGAACCAATACTTAACCCCTTAAGGACACAACTTCTAAAATAAAAGGGAATTACGGAATATTTCCGTCATGTGTCCTTAAGGGGTTAAATATTTAGGTAAGGCCCCATCCCTTCCTAAGGTTAATCTACGTCAGGTGGTGCAATATAAAAGGTAGAGCCATAAACAATCGAGAACTACAAAAGCCATGATGCCTTTAGAGAGAGCACAGCATGATGGAAATTATAGTTCTCAAACATCTGGGGATCTAACCTTTAGGCAGTCCTGTTAAAGGCACAGTCACTTTCCTAACCAGTCAGGCACTGGTGCTCTCCAAGTGTAAGTCGTGAAACCGCTAAAGAACTGTTTGACAAGTTAACTGGGGTTTACCGTGTGCTAGTCACCACCTTCTCTGCACCCTGGAAGCTGCAGTACTGCCTGGTAAAATGTTCCTTTCTCCCTGGTATTAAGTTATGGGCGTTTATTAGCTAAAGCAGGGACAAAGACCAGACCATCAATTCCCTTTTACCATCCCGTGGAACCGGATGCCAGTCATTTAGACAGGAACTAGAGGCTTCATATTAAAATATATTTAATAACAATCAATTTTACACTGAGCATCAGCAGGCAAGGTATGCAGGACGTGCGTATCTGCAATGCTTCTGTATAACACATGAAAACAAGAAACATCGCAGTGTATCCTTCCTGGTAAAATATTTCATAATTAATGGATCGGCATATCATGGCAACAGATGAGGAATCGCTGCGTGCCCAATGCTTCTCTATGAGAAGCATCAGATTGGACACTTATCATCCATGTGTGCTGATCACACAGTAGGCTGGCCCATACCTCCCAACATTTCAAATAGACAAAGAGGAACACTTTCATCTTTTGGTTGAGGGTGTAGCCAGGGGCAGGATGTTCCGAGACGTTTTAGGTGACCTAATAATTTATACAACTGAAATGTAATTTAGAAGAAAAACAAAAAGGATCTTATTTAAAAAGAGACCAATTTCTAAACATATTTATTATAGTTTAAAGGCACATTACTATGAGTATTATTGCCGGGCAGCTCTGTTAAAACACAAACACAGCAGCATTAATAGAGAGCTCAAAGAAAAGAGGGACAGAGACATTTGAGCCCAAAAGGGACTGTTTCTTTTGTTTATAATTTTTAAGTGTTTCTTTGAGATATAAAAAAAAAAAAAAGTATAATTTACATGACCGTATCTCTTTAAGATGAACAAATTCAGTTTTATTCTTAAATACAAATCATATGTCTCTGGTAACACAGGGATAAATCATAATACACACAGGGAGAAATCATAATAAAAAATAAAAAAAACACTTTTGTGAACGTTGCTTTATTATTACAAATGAACAGGTACAAATAAGTAAACAGGAAATTAAACATGTTATTGAATAAGTGTAATGCAATCTACATTTGACAAACATTAAAATAAGAAAACTTGCTCTAAAGATCACTGAGGGTTGGAAGTCTGCACTTGTTTACATGCGCCATCCAAACAAAGCCACAGGCTCCTCCATACTAACTTATCCCCACTAATACCAAAAGGTCCTTAACTAGCCTTCCCAGTAACTAGCCCAGTGATAGGCTACCACTAGCCACACATGTTTCTGAACTCCACTTGCCATTGTGCTCAGCCAGCCATAACTGGTAAATGTGGTTCAGTAATATGTGGTGGGCTACCACTAGCCCCGCTGCCCTGGTCTCTGTGCCGGCTGGCTACCCATCCAGGTAAGCCCTAGGCCTCACGTACGTGTTGTCCTGGTTGAAGTTGGCAAAGAGCAGCTGCGAGGCTCCGGCCTCCACGCTCTGACTGGCCAGGTTCATGGCTGCTGCTGCCAGGGGGAGCTTTGGGCAATGTCCGGGTCACTCAGCAGTTCGGAGACGAGCCTTGCTGATCCCTCATCCCGTCTTGTTTACCGGCCTTTACTGGGCACTTCTCAGCGCACACACGAGTATTAAAACCCAGACCCCTACTGCGCATGTCCTCCCGGAGTGCCGTCATGTTTGAGCATGTGCAGCCCTGTTAGAGCTGTGGAGTTCTAAACGATAGAGGTAGAATACAGCTCGGTGTGATTTGTTGAGTCGCCAGTATGATGATACAGCTGGAGGGGGGATGCTTTTATCTCTAGCATTTAGTACAGAGATAATAAAAGGCTGGCAGAGCTACAATGCTTTCTTGGACTCTGACCCCCTTCATGCTGGTGGGCATATCGTGACATGTTAAATCCTAAAACAATAATATCTATCTAGTGTCTATCGGCTGCTGGAGTGCATTCAGTAAACACATTAAAATAAAATAAGAGAGGCAGTAACTTTATGGAGTCCGCATTGATTGCAAAAAGGATTCCTTTAACCATCATACTGGTATTAGTCTGTATGTGTAGGCTTACCAGACATCGTAAAACTGAGACCGAATGGTGTGTGTGTGTATTTGGTGTTGGGAGGAGGAGGATAACATCCCCTTTAGGGAAACATACACACACACATACTGACACATACACATAGTGCACTGCTGACACAGATACACACACACATACTGACACAGATACACATACTGACACAGATACACACACATACTGACACAGATACGCATACTGGCACAGATACACACACATACTGACACAGATACACACACATACTGACACAGATACGCATACTGACACAGATACACACACATACTGACACAGATACGCATACTGACACAGATACACACACATACTGACACAGATACACACACATACTGACACAGATACGCATACTGACACAGATACACACACATACTGACACAGATACGCATACTGACACAGATACACATACTGACACAGATACACACACATACTGACACAGATATACACCCATACTGGCACAGATACACACACGTACTGGCACAGGTACACACTTGTACTGACACAGATACACACACATACTGGCACAGATACACACACATACTGACACATGCAGATACTAACAGAGATACACATTCTGACACAGATACACTGCACACAGATACACACACATACTGAAACACAGACATACTAACACAGCTACACATAAACTCTGACACTCAGATACAGACATAATGAGATACAGACATACTAACACAGCTACACATACACTCTGACACACAGACATACTAACACAGCTACACATCCACTCTAAAAACACAGACATACACTGACACAGATTCACACATACTGACACAGAAACATATACACATACTGACAGTATACTGCTCTCTCCTGATGCTCTTCCTTCCTCTCTCAACGTTCTTTCAGTGTTTCTTTTTCTGGCTCTGCCTTTTATCCCCAATCCCAATCCCTCTCTGTTGGTGTTCCCCAAGGATCTGTCCTAGGTCCCCTATTGTTCTCAATCTACACTGCCTCTCTTGGTAAACTCATCAGCTCCTTTGGCTTCCAGTATAAGTTTTATGTGGATGACAAGCAAACTTATCTGCTCCCTCCCCCCCCGAATCCTCTTGACTCGTGTTTCTGATTGCCTCTCTGCTGTTTCCAATTGGATGGCTGCTCATTTCTTTAAACTTAACCTGTCTAAAACAGAACTTTTGGTCTTTCCTCCCTTAAGTGTTGCTACTCCCTTGTCTATTTTCCTCCAAGTCAATGGTGCTACTATCCGCTCTACCTCGCAAGTTCACTGCCTACGTGTTCTCTTTGACTCCAACCTCTCCTTCACCCCTCATGTCCAATCAATCGCCAAATCCTGCCACTTCCATCTCAAAAACATAGAATGCATCTGACCCTATTTAACACCTGATAAGGCTAAGGTGCTTGTCCATGCAGTCCTCTCTCGCCTTGACTACTGCAATCCACTTCTCAGTGGTCTTTCGTGTTCCCAACGTGCCGCATTACAGTCTATAATGAAAGCAGCGGCGAGGCTCATCTTTCTGTCCGCCCGCACCTCCCACGCCTCCCCCTCTGTCAGTCCCTACATTGGCTTCCTGTAAGATATAGGATTCAATTTAAGATCCTGATACTTGCTTACAAATCTCTACATAATGCTACTCCAACCTATTTATCCTCACTAATACACATCTAGGCCCCTACACTCTGCTGGAGACCTGCGTCTAACCTCTGTTCATACTCCTACCTCTCATGCTCACCTTAAAGAATTCTCTACGGCTGCACCATTCCTATGGAACACCCTTGCCCTCTCTGTTAGACTTTCACCCAGTCTCCGCTCCTTCAAAAAATCTTTGAAAACGTACTTCTTTAGGAAAGCATATCAATTAAACTGTGAACAGCTTTCCCTCCCACACCCTGATTCCTCTTCTACAACTGTCATCAAAACAACACTTAGCTCTCCGTGTACTTTTCTACCCTACCCTTACCTTTTGTGTCACTATACCCCACTCCCTCTAGCATATAAGCTCATTGAGCAGGGCCCTCAATCCCTGTGTTCCTGTGTATCCAACTAGTCTGGTTACAAATACGTATCTGTTAGTCCACCCATTGTACAGTTCTGCGGAACTTGTTGGCGCTCTATAAATAGTATTAATAAAAATAATAATACACATACATACCAACACATATACACTGACACACACACATACTGATACAGCCACACATACAGTCACACACATACTGACAAATTCTTTATTTCCATATTTTTGGCCACCCTCCTATTTTCATACCTTTTGGGTGCAAGAGAGTGGCTTTCCTGGGGCCCAGTAATTCCTGCTGGCTGTGGATGATGGGAATCTGGGACTGCTTGAAGTCTTCTCCTTCCTCGGTGTAACTCATCTCTCCCTTTCCTCTCTGCATCAAGTGCTCCTCTCTGTTAAGTGGCAGGAAGTAATTTTCTCTCACTTTCTCTCAGACCAATATGACAGGGGCCTGTTGGCGCTGTGAAAGGTCTGCGCCCATGATAAGAGATGTTCATCGAGTGTCCCTAAGTGTGAGGGACACCTGATGGGCCCCAACATTGATGATTGATGCTGGGACAGAATTACAAACCGAGCATGATGCCGGGACAGCTCTATTAAACAGAGAAATCCTTGTCAAACCAGGACGTCTGGTAACCTTATGTATGTGCAGCCTTTCAGCTTGCAACACTGCACATAGTGAGATATTTGTACTTTTACGTGCACTCTGTGCTGGACTGCTTTACATCAATTTTGTGCAAAATTTACACCTATCAGAAATGTTTATCTTACCTCACTCCTTCACTGAGTCATTCCTGTCTCCCTAGGGGAGGATCAGTTCAGGGCCGGCGCGTCCTATAGGCGACTTAGGCAGTCGCCTAGGGCGCACCAGCCCGGGGTGGAGGTGCAAGTTTCGAGCGAGCCGGCAGGAGGGAAGCACACAGTGCTCTCCTCCTACCGGGTCACTCTGTGTAGTGTTGCCGGGCAGCGCAGACCACGGTACTGGAGTTTTTGCGGCCATGCTACACAGAGGTAGGAGGTACAACAGGGAATGGGTGGGAGATGCCACTAAGGGACACTGGGGGGGAGAGGAGAGACCACTAAGGGACACTGGGGAGGAGAGACCACTAAAGGACACTGGAGGGAGGAGTGGAGCAGTGACCACTGAGAGACACTGGGGAGGAGGACAGACCACTAAGGACACGAGACCACTAAGAGACACTGGGGAGAGAGAGAGGAGGAGAGACCACTAAGGACACTGAGAGGGGGAGGACAGACCACTAAGGGACACTGAGGGGGAACCACTAAGGGACTCTGGGAGGGGGGGAGAGACCGCCAAGGTACACTGGGAGGACAGACTACTAAGGGACACTGGGAGGACAGACCACTAAGGGACCCTGGAGGGGAGGGAGAGGAGGAGAGACCACTAAGGATACTGTGGGAGGACAGACCACCACGGACACTGGGGAGGGGAGGTTGGCAGAGAGACCACCGACACTGGGAGGAAAGACCACTATGGGACACTGGGGGAGGGAGAGCACCATGGGACGGGGTGGGAGATCACTAAGGGACAGAAGGGAAGGGGAGAGCACTAAGGGACAAGAGGGGAGGAGAGAGCACTAAGGGACAGAAGGGAAGGGGAGAGCACTAAGGGACAAGAGGGGAGGAGAGAGCACTAAGGGACAGAAGGGAAGGGGAGAGCACTAAGGGACAGGAGGGGAGAGTTCTAAGGGACGGGATGGGAGACCTCTAAGGGACAGGGGGAGAAGTGGATTTGAGACCACTAAGGGACGGGGGAAGTGGAAGAGATCATTAAGGGACGGTGGAGTGTAAGACTCACAGAAAGGCTGAGGAAGGCGAGACAGAGACACACTGAGTCGCTTGTGAGGGAGACACACAGAGTGGCCTGGGGGAAAAAGAGACACACCAAGGAGCTGGGAAGAGTAAGACACGCAAAGGGGTTGGGAGGATGTAGGAGACAAACAAAGACGGGCATAAGGGACACACAAGGGGTTTGTAAGAGATACACTAAAGGAGAGTGTAAGACACAAAACTTAAAGAAAAAAATGCAATAAAAATTACATTAACAAAATAAATATAATAATAAAAACAAAGAGCTGCTCACCTCTCAGCCCCTTTGCAACCCCACAAAACCTCTCTTTCTCACTACACACATACACAATGCATCCTTACACATACACAGAAACACACATGCACAGAATGCATCCCTACTCATACACACACACTGAAACATACAATGCATCCTACACTCACACAGAAAAACACCATTCTTCCCTTACACACACAGAAACACACAATGCATCCATTACACACACACAATGCATCCCTTACACTGTTATGGTTCAGGAATGTTAGGCAAAAATGGAGGAACACAACTGCAGAATTAATAGGTAGTACCATACCTTTAAGAAAAGCAAAAGGACTTTACATTAGAATTGATGAGTGGCACATAGGAAGGAATTTATATGCAAGTTGCAGCACTAATTTAGTATTGATAAGTGGCACATAGAATTAGATTATCCTTACATGCAGAGTTGCAGCAATAATTAGTTTTGAGAAGTGGCACATAGAAATTGATTATCCTTATATGCAGAGTTGCAGCAATAATTAGATTTGATAAGTGGCACATAGAAATTGATTATCCTTAAATGCAGAATTGCAGCCAGTGGCGTACATATTTCCTTCTTTTGGATCAACAGCAAAAACATATGTGAGGAAGGCTGAACTTGTTGGACACAAGTCTCTTTTCAGCTATGTAACTATGTAACTATGTACTATGTAACATACCGCGGTCGCAGGGTATGGAGTGACCTGGCCCGTCACTCAAGGGGGCCCGGCCTCCCTGCAGACCCCTGCGACCAGGTGCCCGCCGCCATGTGTTGGGGCCCCGGCCGCGCAGTATAATTGCCGGGGCCGCAGGTGAACGGGCCACCCGATGGAAATGAATATCACATGTCTGTATGTGTGTGTGTGTGTATGTATGTGTCTGCATTTATCTGTGTGTGTGTGTGTGTGTGTATATGTGTGTCTGTATTTATCTGTGTGTGTGTCTGTATGTATGTATGTGTGTCTGTATGTATGTGTCTATGTATGTGTGTCTGTATGTATGTGTGTGTGTCTGTATGTATGTGTGTCTGTATGTATGTGTGTCTATGTATGTGTGTCTGTATGTATGTGTCTATGTATGTGTGTGTCTGTGTGTGTTCATGTATGTGTCTGTATGTATGTGTATGAGTATGTGTATGTGTGTGTACATGTGTCGGTATGTGTGTGTGTGTCTATGTATGTGTCTACATTTATCTGTGTGTGTGTGTGTGTGTATCTATGTATGTGTCTGTATTTATCAGTGTGTGTGTATGTCTGTGTGTGTGTCTGTATGTATGTATCTGTGTCTATGTATGTGTCTGTATGTATGTATGTATGTATGTGTGTGTCTCTGTATGTGTATGTGTGTTTGTATGTGTCTGTGTGTGTGTCTATGTATGTGCCTGGATGTATGTGTGTGTATGTGTCTGTGTGTGTCTCTGTGTGTCTGTATGTATGTATGTGTGTCTGTATGTATGTGTGTCTGTATGTATCTGTGTCCGTGTGTCTATCTGTGTCTGTATGTATATGTCTGTGTTTGAGAATCTCTAAGTATACACCTTTTTGTAATAAGAAATAAAGTTCAATAAAGCTTACTCACCAGTTTCCAGCTCTGAGTCTACATTGCAGAGTTAAAACTATGCACTATACCCAGACAACTTCATTGAGATGAAGTGTTCTGGCTGACTTTACTGCCAGACTTTACTTTCCTTTAAATTTGAAGTTTTGTTTGAATTCACTTTGAATTCTCACTTTATTAAAGATCCATTAGAGTGAGATCTGCACAAACTGTGCTAAAACATTCAGCACAAGAGCAGAGCCTTTTAACAGCGTTAAATTGACAATCAACCTGGTGTACATTCATGCTAGGCTGATAATCCAGTTCTACACCTTTTAATGTTGGGATGTATGTTATTTCATGTTCGGCAAGTCACAATGCTTAAAGGGATACTCTAAGAATCATAACCACTACAGCAAACTGTGCTCTGGTTATGATGAGTACTCTGGCCCTGTTTCCCAATGTTTTGCCCTCTTACCTGTTTCTGCCAGGCCCAGCGCTGCTTTAAAACTCACTGTGACATGTATACGGCTCCTGATCTTCTGGCCATCCATTGGCTAAGAGCATCAGCTGACCACTCTCAGCCAATGGTTGTAATTCTGTGCATAGAACTATGCAAAGAATTGCATAAAGAGAAATTGGCCAAAAGGGTTATCCACATATAAAGGGAACAGAAAAGGGGGTAACCCTAGGGGAATGGAACAAACAAAAATAAGAGAGGAATCTGTCCCTATAATTGAAAGTATACTTAAAAATCTCGAAGATACTTTTATTAATACCAAAAAAGGGTAACTATAGACAAACAGCCCCTTTGTCTAACTGTCTGACTCAGACAGAAGCAATAACGGTAGTATGTGCAGGGGGCATACATAAAAGGGATAGGGGGAGTGGAAGACGACACAAGAAAAAGGTGAGTTTCGTTTCTCGATATACCTATCCTTGTGGATACAAATAATCCAATAAATTCCACCGCCCCCTCCTCAAATCCTTTTTTAGAACAGGAACAGCCCTGTCAACAAGGGGGCCGTCTGAGAGACAGGGATCGGTGGGCATACAAGAATCAGAACCGAACCCAGAGGCAATAGTCTCTAACAAAATAATTAACTTGTCAGATTTCCAACTTTCAGTTCATCATATTAGTCTGCTCAATAAGGGATTATCATTTGTACGAACCCCTAATTGTAACAAGCTTAACTGGTCTAAGGACCTGAATCTTTTTGGAAGAAAATTAGCCCTTAACATAATGTACGCAAAATAAGATCAATTAGCGGCCAATGAATTGGGCCTTACAGCACAGGAATACGAACTCTCCAAAACTCTTGACAGTCTTCTACATGAAAATGACCCCACCAGGCCATTAACAGATTTTAAGCCACCAAGTTATTTCACTCCCAATTTCATAGACACCCCTCACGTTGATCTTTTTCTTCCACCCTTTTGACATTGCAGGATATGACGGTTCCACCGTATACACAATTAGCAAGTCTGGATGTGGTATCCTTATACACTAATATACCCCACCACATGGGTTTAAGGGCATTTCTTGATAATACATCATATAATGACTTACAAAAGGACTTCATTTTAGCTTCTCTTGAGTTTGTCATAACACACAGCTATTTTATTTTTAATAGTTGTTATTACCTCCAGATTTCCGGCACGGCTATGGGGACGGCCTGTGCACCCACCTATGCCAACCTGTTTTTGGAGTGGTGGGAGCAACATGTCATCACAACTTCCAAGTTCAGCCGCTTTCATGAGTATATCTTGAGCTGGCACAGATACATTGACGACATGTTGCTCCTATGGACAGTATCTGTCCCCATGTTCAAGGATTTTGTCAAAATGCTCAATGACAATGACATCAACTTGACACATGTAATCGACGAACATGAACTGGTGTTTTGGGATCTTAAGATCCTGCTGGAACAGGATGGCACCATTCAGAATTTTTAGAAAGTCAACCTCTACCAACAGCTTACTACACTGGACGAGTCATCACCCTTACCGACTAAAGGCTTCCATCCCCTACAGTCAATATCTTAGGGCAAGACGTAATTGTTCGCAGGATCAGACTTTCTATAATGTAATTTATTTATTTTTAGAAACTTCCCATAATGTAAATTATTGGCCTCATGTATGACAATAAGGGAGTGCTTGCGGTCCCATCTGTAGCCATATCGTTTTTTTTTTTTTATCATCAAAATTATTATCGAGTTTTAATAAATTGAGGGGGAAGTTACAGAAGAGAAGGGGATATGTGTTACATACAATACCCAAGTTTAGCTCAACCCAATTTCAAGGGTAAACCAATTTATAATAGATTTATGCCTTCCCATTCTCAAATTGCGTCAAATCTTAAGTCACCATTACTTGGGAGATCTCAGGTATCATCACTCTTGTGTCCATAACACTTACGTCTACGTCATATCTATTCCCTTCCCTTCCGCAGGGCGATAGGGGAGGGGGACAGAACTAGGAGGGAAGGTAGAAAGGGTGGGAGGGGTGTCGGTCTGCTTATGGTAAGAGCTTACGCTAAGTATTTAAACAGTCTCTATGGGCTATGAGACATTGGGTTCCGTTGTCGCCATGATTCCCATTGGTCCCATGCCATATACCAAGTCTTGTTTGTAGATCTCAGACGCCCAGCTTCCAGTTCATACCGTTTAGTTGTGTCAACGTCATTAAGGCATTGCCTGATATCAGGTGAGTGGTCCTCCCTATTGTTGTCAATGCCGCGATGATGACGTGATATATTAGGCATAGGGTGGCTTTTTGGAGGTTTTCCAGGATCACTAGCAGCAAGTAAGTCCCTGGCATATGTGGTAGTGTCTTGCCTGTTGTTGCCGTGATTGTGGCCGAAATACCTTCCTAGAAATCCTTAAGTTTCGGACAAGACCACCATATGTGGATCATTGATCCAGGTTCTGCCCGACATCTCCAACATAACTTAGACCTTTCATGGTCCATTTTGTAGTGTAGTCTTGTGGGAACCATATATGTCCTATATAACACTTTCCTACTCGTTTCAATATGAGACGAACTGAGTGTGAGGTTCTTGTGTGCAGTGAAATTTTTTGCAGTCTTGGTAGTATCATCATTTTGACGGCAGCTATTCTGCCTATCCATGATATATATTTCTTCCTCCAGCTTTGTAACTGTTGTTTGATAGTGTTATGTAATTTTATATAGTTTGCCTTGTATAGTTGGGTTGTTTGGGGCGTGAGGTCTATACCTAAGAAGGTTAGGTGAGTTTGTCTCCAGTCATATGCATGGGTGGTTTGTAGTTGCAGGAGTTGGGGTTTAGTGGTATTCAGGCCCATGGCCTGCGTCTTGGTAGTATTTAGATTGTAATATGAGCAGCTGCTAAACCTCGTTATTATGGTTTGGAGCATTGGAAGAGAGATTTCGTGTTTAGATAACGTGAGCATGACGTCATCGGCAAAGAGAGTAATTTTGTGTGTCCTCCCTCCCGCTAGTATCCCGTGTACGTCTTGTGAATTCCTTATGTGCTGTGCTAGGGGTTCTAATGCCAGTATATACAGTAAGGGGGATAATGGGCAACCCTGGCTCCTATTGGGTGGCTTCCTCGGTTTTGGCAGTGTCGTTATATGAGCTAGTAACATTTCTTTAGGAATGGTGCCCGTAGTCCGTATGTGATTATATAATTTCTCTAATTGGAGGTTAGCAGATGCGAGAAGGTTTTGTAATATAGGTTTGTAAAACCATCCGGGCCGGGAGACTTCCCTTTGGGAAGCATTTTGATCGTAAGTTCTATCTCTTTTTGTGTGATGGGTTCTGCCAACAGGGATTGGTCTGGCTGTGTAAGCTGTGGTAGTTGGGCATCTTTTAGGAACGAGTCTATTTCTGCTTGAGATGGTTGGTGTGTCTGTCTGTCTGTCATTTTTTAAATTGTAAAGTGTGTCGTAGTAATCTGCCAATGTGTCATTGATCTCCTGCGGGTTATATAGTCTATTCCCCATGTGATTTATAAGATGTGGGATTTTTGCGTTCTGTCTTTGCTGCCTTAGGAGTTTTGCTAGAGTTTTCCCTGCTCTATTGCCTTGTGTATACGTTGTCTGTTTTAGTTTATATGTCATAAGGGCTGTAACTCGCAAATGCCTATTATTCAATTCTTCTCTTGTCATCTATGCGCTGTTGTGTAAGGGAAGTTGGGGCACAGGTTTGCTTAAGGATTTCATCCCTTAGGGACCTCAAAAGATCGATATATTCTTGTCTTGACTTTTTATTTAAATGTGACGCTTGGCTGATTAGCAGGCCTCTAACGACCGCTTTGTGTGCCTGCCATTGTGTGGTCGCTGATGTGTCCGGGGTATTGTTAAAATCAAAGAAAGAAGTTATTTCTTCTTCTAATTTGGTTGTCAAGTCAAGATTTAGGAGAAGATGGTCACTTAGACGCCACGGGGTCGTCCCTTGCGATGTTAGGTGCACTGGGGCATGATCTGACCACACTATATTCCCTATTTTACTATTCTAGTGTACGTTTTGTGTATCTGGGAGTAGAATGTAAATTCACGGTCGTTCGGATGGTGTGTTTGCCAGACGTCATATAAGTTATACTCTGAGAGGAGCTTCAAGAGGAATTCTGCTTGTCTCCCTAATGCTTTTTGTCTGTGGGGCAGTTCCGATATTGTGGTGTCCATGCAGACTTGTAATACTTGATTTAAGTCCCCGCATAGAATCGTAGGCATCTGAAGGGTAGGGGGGAGTTTGGATAGCACCTTTTGCAAGAAGTTTCTTTGATTGTCATTTGGGCTATATATTCCCACCAGGTTATAAAGAACATTATTCATTTTACAGTGTAGTATAAGGTGCAGAAGTTCAAAGGATACTGATGTGTGTATGAGGAAGGAAACGCCTCTGGATTTGGAAGAGTGTGTTGAGTGATATTGTGTGGGGTAGTCTCTAGTAGCAAAATTGGGTACCTTATTGTGGGCAAAGTGAGTTTCCTGTATACATAAAATGTCCGATTGCATGTGTTTTGCTTCCTCCATAAGAAGCCGTCTTTTATGCGGCGTGTTTAATCCGCGTACATTAATGGTTTTTAGTTTCATATTTTAGTTGGTAGTGATTTTGACCGCTGTATGGTATAGTATGGTGACAGTGTTATGCTCTGAATTACAAAGAAAGTAAAAAACGGGTCTAGGCAGTGGAATGCGTCTAAAGGTTGGATGTGTAAGTGATGTTGATTGCGTGCATAAGGAAATGGCAACATGAGAGCCTGTGCTGAGTATTATGTCTATAGTTGCATGACTGACTTGGGGGAAATTGGGGCTAAGAGAGAGTAACATGGCTAAGTGCACCTCTCTTTGGGTGTGTAACGCCGCTGTCATTATAGCGGATGCATTATGGTTTGTCTGGCGGACAGCTATTATATTGGGTCAGAGTCGGGTCTTGTTTACGTCCGTGTCCCCGGTTGTTGCCTGGGAAACCGCCTTTGCGGCTTAGGCATGCGTCTGAAGTGACCACCCATCTTGTACTCCCGTTACAGGTATTGCCAGCAATATACATTTAGGTAGTCAACCGCTAGCTCCCTTTTAACCGCGTCTCACCTTCCCTCCTCCCCATTCCCTCCCACCCCCAGCATCCAAGACCCCCCAATCTCCCCCAGCTCGCCCAGTCCTCACATGTCTAAGGATGTTTCTACCACATATGGGAGTTCAAGCGGAGGGACAGAGGTGAACCCACTGTCTTGTTCGTTGGTGTCTAAGTCTGGTATCCATAACAGGCCAAGGGCCAACTGGCGCGTTTGACACCTCCTGGTGAGCTGTCTCCAGTTAAGTTCACAGTCTCGGGGGCCCAAGTGGAGGGCGAGGGGGGAACCGGCAGGGAAACAAAGGAAAGTCTTTACCTCCTGCATGCGGTCTGGACCGCCCATCGGGAATGCTTGGCCTCACAGGTCATCTCCCGCCCCGGACACCCAGTTCCGGAACCGCACCAGGGAGGGAGACAGCGCGGGGCGAGACCTCCAAGGGCAGCCATCTTGTTTAGTCCCCGGGCTGGAGCATATGTAGGTCCCACTCTCTTCTTACCAGAATCCAGCTGGTCTCCGTGTTTCTTGGTGGCTTTGTTCCAATCTGCGGTGAGTTTCCCCGCGGGTTGGGCCGATGATACTGTCGGTGCTACTTGTAGATTCCATGTCTGCAGCTGCTTTACTCCTTCTTCGGGGTTTGCCAGGACTGTTGTAACTCCATCTTTGGTAACCAGTAATTTAGTGGGAAACCCCCATTTATACTTAATGCTGTTCATTTGTAGAGTAGCTGTGACCTGGTGGAATGATTTTCGCTTCCATAACGTTGCCGCTGACAAATCTGCGTATATCTTAATCATAGAATATTCAGGCGATGGTGTGGCCCTCAATTTGCTGCCTCGAAGGATGTGCTCTTTGATATGGAAATAATGTGCGCGCATTATTACATCTCTTGGCACCGTCTGTGGGAGATGCCTGGGTTTGGGGATGCGGTGAATCCGGTCCACCAGCAACATATCCGCTGGTATCTCGGGAGCATGGGCGTGTAAAAGGCCCCGCACGTACACTGGTAGGTCCTCGCTAGTGATCTCCTCCGGGATGCCTCTCAGCCACAAGTTGTTGCGGCGGGAGCGATCTTCCAGATCCTCCATCTTCCCCTCTAGGGCATCTAGCCTGGCCGCCATTTGTTCCACATTTGAGGCTAGATCGTTGTGGGCCGTAGCGATTTCTTCGCATTTATCCTCCATGTGCGTCGTCCTCCTTCCCAGCTCCTGGATGTCCTTCCTCATGGAGTCTGCCATATGTTGCCAGGAGGAAATCAGTTTGTTAGAGAGGATGTCTAATGCTGATTTAAGGTCAGCTTTCGTGATCTGGGCATTGTCTGCGGGTAGCAGTGAGTCTCGCCCGGGAACTCCGCTATCAGATTGCATGCCCTCGTCCAAGCTTGAGGCCTGCGCAGCCATGGTCGCAGTAAGTTGTTTCTGGCTGAAAAAATTGAGCTTGTCCGGTTTCCCGGAGATATTCTTACTTTTATGATGGGACATTGCTGGCCCGCCGTGTTGGATGCAGCTTTAGTGTTCAGGATTGCATTAGATTAGGTGCTTGTTGCCGGAGCAAGGTTTCATGCGTCCATCTTGCTCCGTGGCTAGCCACGCCCCCCAGACTTTCTATAATGAATGCAAAATTCTAAAATCTCGCTTTAAGGAATTGGGATACCCGAATCGTGCCCTTTAACAGGCTTTTTATCGGGTATGTGATATTGATAGACATTCTAGTCTTCATTTCACCAAACCGGAATTACAGTCTAAGGCCCCACGATGTATCGCCACGTTCGACCAAGGCTGGAGACCTATGGCCAAAATCTTGAAGAGGAATTGGCCTATACTTCTGCATGACTTGGTGCTTCAAAATATTCTACCAAATCATCCACCTTTAACAGCACGTAGACCAATAAACCTTCAAGATCAACTAGTCCATAGCCATCTGTCATCTCCTTCACCACCAACTAACTGGCTATCAAACCTGAAGGGAACTTTTAAATGCGGCCACTGTAAGGCCTGCCAATACATTTTGCCCTCTAAGTCAGCCATCTCCATTCAGACACATATAAGCATTGATGCTAATGCTCTTGTAAACTGCAGCACCACACGAGTGATCTACTTGATCACATGCAGTTGTGGAGTTCAATATATTGGAAAAACCTTCCAACAATTTAGACGTAGGATTCTGCAACATAGTAATTCTATCAGCAATACTGTCACTCCTTCTACTGTAGCGAGACACATTCTCAATTTCCATAATGGTAAATCCGACAATCTACGATTTTAGGTCATTGAGAAAT